TAGTATGGTTTGGATATATGTATATATGTTGTATTGTCTTATGGAAAACGATACGGGTTTTACATTGAGGGGCATTACTTTTAGAGAGGTAATAACTTTGGGAAGCTTGGTTTTGTTGCTCACTCACACTCTCTGTTTGGTGCCCTCCAGGTTTTAGCTACTGAGTTTGTATCGACAAGGATCTGTGGCGAATCTTAGTATTGATGGATACTTCTGAGGGTATGATTCTTACCCACACTTTTGTACCTTACTTATGCTCTGATGTCATGTGTGAAATGGGTTCGCTCCCACTCACAACGCACTCTGTTATTTAAAAGTTTTAAGTTCAAATTATTCACATTTTTTCTACACTCTTATCACATTTTATGGTGTCGGCCAGCACAGCTCAATTCAGGGTCCAAGTGGACCTTCTGGGTCGGGGTGTGTCAGGTGATGTATTTGGATCTTAAAAACTTAAATTCTAGAACTCGTTTTGAGTTTTAAAATTTGAATCCTTGCACTGGAAATTCATATTTGAATTTTAACAATCTGGTTGTGTATTGGAAATGATTGGACTCAAATCTCATTATTCTTGGTTGAGTAACAATTTTCTTAGTTGGCATGGGCTCCACTTTCAACTCAAATCTCATACTGAAACTCAAATTGGGTCTTCATTCCGCCAAAGACATAAATATGAGTTTGGAGAACACTTAGACTCGTATCTAGACGCAAATATAAGATTTGAGGCCAAATTTTTTGGTACATCGGAGATGCTTAGTGTGCTCGAAATATAAGGTGGTCAAGATTAAATTGAGAAATGAATGAAAAATGAACGATCAAGATTGAATTGAGAAAATACCATTTTTATTTACTTTCCCATCTAATGGCATAAAGTCGGATTAACCAATAATTCGAATTATTGAAGACTTACCTATATCGAACTACCTAGTAATTCAAACTAATGAAGATTTACCCATAAAATGAGACATATTAATCTTGTCATCCTTGGAGTACTTGTAAAAATTTCTAGGGTAGTGCTATCACACACCCATTTTTACTTTTCACACACCACTCTCAAATTTTGGACATCGGATATAATGAGTTGAAAAAGAACAATGACAAAAAATTAATAAGGATATGTAAGAAGTAAAAATTGGTGTGTGAACATATTCCAATTTCTAATGATTTAACTCTTTGATTTGAACCATGAGATAAGCATGTGGTCTTCTTCAAGGTAATGGAGTGACGCGTGAGGATCGTGTAAAGATTGAAAACGAAGAAACGAGAAAGTATCAAATGATTGAGAGAAGTGCGTGTGAGGTTAGGATAACGATCTTTTATATTGACAAATCTTTCCAAGCAACCACCCATAAATTTGAGGGGGAAATGACTATAAATTCTTGACCATCATGTCACCAAGCAATCAAAATTCGTTATTTTAAATTGAGTTGCACAGATAATTCAGGTGATTGTAGAGAGATGTCTCAAAATAATCTGAAAGATTTAAGAATACTCATGGGGTGGATTTAATTTTCTCAGTTCAAATTGAGACAATTGTGATGTTGAAGGTTGGTAATGGACAAACGGGAAGGAGGAGAGGCCGATGGGCACGTCGACGACTCAATGCACAATAAAGAGAAAGATCGGTTGTGTTCAATTCCAATCAATTTTTGTTAAAATTGAGATTTTCTTAAAGTTCCTAGCTTTATGTGTAACTTTCTGACACAACTTGAGCGAAGATTGATATGGGAGCAAATTTTCGCCGTCTCTTCCTTTAACAAAAATGCACTCGTAAAATAATAACGCATAAGATTAGGGTCAAAAGTCTCACATGCCTATGATGAATGAGGGGGATTTTGGGCGAAAAATCTCCAATGCCAAAGTTAGAATTCTGAAATGAATGTATTTAGGAGTTCGTGGGTAGCAAATGACTTAGCATTTTAGTGGGATGCGAGGGGTATTTATAGTAGGGTGTCCAACACTTTGGGTGAAGAGTGGTCAGCCATATATGGTGGTAATTGGAGAACAATTGCAAGATATTATGTGAAATAATATCTTGCAATTAACATGGCAATTATTCCTGAGGGATGAAGAGTTGATTGCTGCTTATAATCAAGTAATCCACTTCCAGAAGATCGCCAATAAGCTTGAACCCCAAATGTTGAAACTCCAAGGTGTGTTGAAGATCAACGAAAGTCTGAAGAAAGAAGTGGACGAGTTGCAACGCATCCATGTTGGTCTACTCAGGGCTTCGCTTGTTCAGGGTCAGGCCGATTTTAGTTTAAGTTTATCTCTTGTGCTCTCGATCACAAAAATACCAAACGTTTTAGAGACGTCCACTTAGGTATGGTCGTCAATGCATATGCATTAGCACACCACCGAGTGCATTAGAATATGGTTTTCAGTTTTGGGTGCTGCATGCATTAAAGTAGTTTGTGTGGTTTTGGTTATTGCTATCGCTGAGCATAAGTGGTTTTCTGTAGCTGCTGAGATTTATATTGTAAGTAGAATTTATATAGCAGCTTTCATATACGGCACATGGTAGTCAGCAGTACTGCATTTAGAAAGAGAAGGTTATATATTATTCACTGTTTATTCAAAAATTATATGTTGCATGCTCTGGGTTTTAAAGTGAGTCGGCATAGAGTGATTATTTGAGAAAAATCAATTTTGTGTCCATGTGTTTTCAAAGAGAATAGTTTAGTTTTTAATCACTGATTTTTCATTGTGTTTTAATTAGAAATTAATTATGAAAATGTACCTTATGATTTTCATAATTGGTTGATTTTAAAAAACTATTACATTTCATACATTTTGCATGATCTTACAAAGTTCGAGGAGATAGTGATTGACGACTGCATTAGTGTCATGCCACTTCCACTTGAAGGCTGAAGAGAGATCGGGTAGCAAAACGCAATGAAAAAATTGTCTACTAGTATGTGAGTCTAGTTGATGAGTTTTGTAAGTCTTTCTATACTCATTTCTCTTAGTGTTTGTTCTGGCTTAAGAGTCTGAAGATTTTCTCAATGGTGGGTTTTACCTCGTTAAATCCTACATCATGTGTATACATGTTATTTGTCTTTTTAATTGCAAATGTGTTGGATAAACTTCCACTAATTTTCTTGTAGTGAACTCTATCTTAGACATTCATCAACATATAGAGTTTACGACAAAGGACTTTGCAACTATATTATTCAGTGCATTGTTTAATTTGCAAAGCTCTCATTTATCCTAATTATAAAATATAATCTGTACAAGTCATTTAAAAAATGGAAGTGTCTTTCAACAGTTTGGATGTCATGTATGGCCATATCCTTTATTTCCACCATCCTTATCAACCGGATGGGGAGATATGTCTTTAAAAGTATGTTGTGAAATCGTGGCAAATATTGATTCAGTAATGACGCCTCTAAAAGTAAAATTTGGTTCTATGAAAGAATCTCTCATAAAATAAAGTAACGAATAATCAACAAAAGTAACAGTACACCAAGTTGGACCTTCCCAACGTTGAAATGAAATACGAAAGTAGACCAAGCTCCTATTATTCATCTACTTTTTGTTTTTTTTTTTTTTTAATAAACGATATTGTTTACATAGTTACACTAAGGAAAGAGAATGGGCTAAGCCTCACTATGGGCTAGCAATAATATGGTTCAAATTCGCATTTGGCAAGAATCAAACTTAAGACCTCTCACTTACAAGTGAAGATGAATACTATTAGATTGTAGTATAAAATATCATTATTCATCCACTTTTAAATAATGAATAATCAAGAAAAACATTGCACGGGGTCCCCCTCTCGTCATTGGAATTGGATCCTCTCCTGAGCTTGGGCTCAGGAGCCTCCTGACCAACACACAAAGGCCGTTGGATTTTGATCCAACAACTATAATTATTACAACTTTTAGAGGATTTCCTATTTGTAGTCGTTAGATTAGAATCCAACAACCCTTGTGTGTTGGTCAGAAGGCTTCTAAGCCCAAGCTTAGGAGATGATCCAATTCCCTCGTCACTTACCACTAGTGACCATCACTTCCCTGAGCAAAAGACATCTTTCCAATTGCTTGACCAAAACAAGCATTGACTTGGTTGTCTATCCATCAATAACAGGTCCACATCTCAACCCAAATTTAATGACGTCAAAGGAGAGGGGAAAATGAGAAGGAAACTCCAGAGGGTAGAGAAAAGGAAAGGAAGAAAAGGAGAAAAGGAGAAGGGAAAAGTAGGAAAGAAGGAAAAAGGAGAAGGAAGCTTAGGAGAGTAAAGGAAGAGAGGGAAAAGCATAAAAACAAAAAATAAAAAAGGAAAGTCGTCTTCATCATTATGTCTACTAACGGAAAATAGCAAAATGCTCCCAACTTCCCTTGTTTCTTACATTGTAAATTGTATTTCGTACAATGAGAAATTAGTATTCTTATCCTGAGAACGTAGACATGACTTGCCAAATCTCGTAACTATACCACAAATGTATAACTACATAACAATTCAATTAACCATCTTAAGTTTGACCATACATGTACCTAAATTCAGGTTTTTCTAAATTTTCCTTAAGAAACTACCTGAATATTAAAAGTGCCACATTATTATGCGGTTCTATCAAGTTTTAATTTTTGTCTAATTACCTCATCATCTTTAGGACAATCAATCTTGTAATTGAATATATAAACCTTCGAGATGGTGATATTGGAAACAATAGTTGGTGGGTTGATTGGTAGAAATGGTTCCAACAATTCAAGGACGATAAATGAATATGGAGCAACAAACAAGAAATGAGTATACAACAACGATCAAAATGTGTTGTATTTTATCACAAAAAATCTTTGTGCAACTAGAAGTGCATTTTATCACAAAAAAGGTGAGCAACGATCAATATAATTGTAATTTAGAAAATCACATATAAAACAAGATGTAATCTTTTCTTATTCTTTTCATCTCTATCACTAGTGGCCGACCATGACTTAAACAAATACTTTTTGGGTCAATGCATGGGAATGACCCATTTTATAATTGTTTGTTAATTTTCCTGGAAGGAGATAAGAATGACCTAATTAAATATCTCCCCTGCTCACAGACATTTGCATTGCACCTAACAAAGACCAGGTTTTTTGTGTCTCCACCGATCCACATCAATGGCTCTTGTGAGAACAACTCAAGGAACATCCTCCAATTCCAACACTCGTCGGGGTTATCATTACGACGTGTTCTTGAGCTTTAGAGGTGAAGACACTCGCAAGACGTTTACCGACCACCTCTACACAGTTTTGATCAGCGCAGGATATCGCACATTTCGAGACGACGATGAACTCGAGACGGGAGAAGATATCAAGTCAGGACTGAAGCAAGCAATCCAAATGTCCCGAACTTCTGTCATTGTGTTTTCGAAAGATTACGCGTCATCCAGATGGTGCCTTAACGAGCTTGTCGAGATCGTTGACCACAAGAGGACTAGCTCGGACCATGTGGTTGCACCGGTCTTCTACGATGTTGATCCATCCCATGTGAGGAAGCAGACAGGAAGCATTGCCGAGGCATTTGCTAGACACCGGAAAACTGAACCCCCCGACATGATGGAGAGATGGAGGAAGGCACTTGCAGAGGTTGCAGATCTAGCTGGGAAGGTTTTACAAAATCAAGCTTATGGGTAACTTTCATTTTCTTCTTTTGTCTTCTCTTTGTTGTTGTTGTTGACCTGCCCAATAAAATAACAAAATATTGATTTACTCAACACAAATATTCATATGACTCCAGGCAAATTGCTCCAGTAAGAATCCCATTTAAGGTCAATTAATATAATTTTCTCTTGTGAATTCCATGATGATCAGACTTCGTATAATTGATTGATATCGAGTGCACGACATTTTGATTCATCTTTAATTTTATTTGCAAATTCTTAGGTACGAGTCAAAGTTTATCAAGGATATTGTTAAAGTGATTCGTGATAAGCTAAGTCGCACACACTTGAGCATTGAATCAAAACTGGTTGGAATCCATTCTCGAGTCGAACACATCAATTTATGGTTACAAGATCCATCACATGATGTTGGTGTACTTGTTGTTTATGGGCTGCCTGGAATAGGGAAGACAACCATTGCAAAATGTGTTTACAATTCAAACTTTGAAAGTTTTGAAGGAAGCAGCTATGTTGAAAGTATCAGAGAAACTGCAAGTCATCCAGACGGCTTAGTTCGAATACAAAAGCAAATTCTTTGTGATATTTTAGACGGGAAAAAAGAGAAAATACACAATGTTAGTGAGGGAATAATTAAGATTGGAAGAGCCATAAGCTCGAGAAGAGTTCTTCTTGTTCTTGATGATGTGGACCATATGGACCAATTTGATGCAGTACTCGGAATGAAAGATCAGTTTTATCCTGGAAGTAAAATAATCATAACAACCAGGCGTAAAAGCTTGCTAAAGGCACATGACGGTATTACGGTGCATGAAGTTGGACCTTTGGGTTTCGATGAATCATTGGAGCTCTTAAGCCAGCATGCTTTTGGCCAGGATCATCCCCTTGAAGGTTATGAGAAATATTCTGAGGAAGTCGTACAACACAGTGGAAGACTTCCATTAGCTCTCAAAGTTTTGGGTTCTTCTCTTTTCAGGGAACCTAAACGTGTATGGAAAAGTACAGTGGAGAAGTTAAAAGTTATTCCAAATGGTGAAATCATGAATAAATTGAGAATAAGCTACGACTCTTTACAAGATGACCATAACCAGAAATTATTCCTCCATATTGCTTGTTTCTTTATTGGAAAGGATGAAGATTACATTGTCAGAATACTAGATGGATGTGATTTCAAGACAATCTGTGGCATTCAAAATCTCATTGATCGGTGCTTGGTGACAATTGATAGGGACAACAAGTTGTCTATGCATGACATGATTCGTGACATGGGACGAGAAATTGTTCGCCAAGAATCATATGAGCCTGAGAATCGTAGTAGATTGTGGCGCTCTGAGGATTCTTTCGAAGTATTGAGAGAAAAGAATGTAAGAAATGTTCATTGTATGTGTGTGTGTGTGTGTGTTTCTTTTTCTCTTGTGCTAATTAACCAATTGTTTTTCCGATTTCTTTTATAGGGTACGCAAGCAATTGAAGGTAGGGCTGGGCACGGGCCGGGCCGGGCCCAAATTTGGAAGAACCGGACCTACCCGTTTTAAAATGTAACGGGCCGGGCCGGGCCGGGTGTAGGGATTTTAAGTTTGGGAACCGGACCTAACCCGGCCCGTATCAAACGGGCCGGTTCGGGACGGGTCCACGGGTCCAATAACTTTTATTTATTTATTTTTTTTAAATCTGGTTATGGGCATACTAAGATTGAAGCAGAATGAGGTGTGGTTCCAGTGCTGACGAAAAGGAAGAAGCTTGTAGAACCAAATAGCAGAATGAGGTTATGTGCTAAAGTAGAATTGCTTATACGGTTCATAAAAACTGAAATAGAACGAGCAAATATTCGACAGACCCTGATGAGTACTGCATTGTTGCGCCGGATACTGATGAGTACTGCATTCATTGGCAATTGCCTTGGCGAGAAGGGTTTTCCCACAGCCAGGTGGTCCATAAAAGAGAACGCCTTTAGAAGGTGACATCCCAAATTTCTCAAACATCTCAACCATATAAACTTTTTGTGTTCAGTAAAAGTCCACCTGTATAACAAACTGTTGTCCGGAGACGCTCTTTCCATACTCATTGAGTAATGCCTCTGTTGCAAAAAGTACTCCTCTTCCCGTTGCTGCATCTCTTCCTAGTGATCCACCAATATCCTGATTAACAAAAAAAAAAAAATTACAGAATGTTACGCAATAAAAACAAACAAAATTTGTAGCACAGGTATGAACTATTGCAAGACAAGACTGCCATGAATCGAATAAAGGAGGACAATTTAACTGAAGTAACTTTTTTTATTATGATTTACTTACAATAGGCTTTCCAGTCACTACTGCAGGTGAGTAGCCATGAAACTTTTGAGTACTCATCTAGTATCCATGCCATGGTCTGTTTAAACCAAAAAAAAAAAAAGGAAAAAGATTGAGAGAAAAAAATGCTAAAATTCAGTCCAATGGCATCCCACGAAACATTAGGTACGTCCACAACCTGTAAACCAAGAAAACAAGTTATCATTCTCAAGTCCAAAGATATTCTAACTCTCTGAATAGCAACTTCTAAAAAACAAGTAAAGCTTGCTACCCCAAAACTTCAAAAAAAAAAAAAAAAAGTTAAAACTTACAGTTTCGCGCAAGGCAGAAGGATTTGTAGAGGACAGTGCGGTCTGGAAGTGTTCATTCGTCACAGCCATCGAATTCAACACCTCAGCATCAATCGTATCGTCTTCCAAGTCAATAACGTCCATTTTTTCACGGATGCACTGGAGCGCAGCCTCTGTGGAGAGAGCGGCAAGATCTGCACCAACAAAACCATGGGTATCTTTTGCAACTCGTTCGAGATCAACCTGTAATAGTAGCAAAACACCAAGTAATTAACATAATTTATCGCAATGCAGGATAAACGATATGAAAATTTGAGGATAGAAGATCTTACATCATCTGAGAGAATGAGTAGCAGGGTGCGTGTGCTTGTCTGTGTGTGTGGCTTGCTTGTGGCTGGCCGGAGTCGTGTCGGAGAAGGTGGACGGAGGAGCGGCGCCGCGAATTTGAGAAAGGGTTGGAGTGTTGGAGAGATTGAGATTTGAGACTGAACACTGAAGTCTGAAACTGATTTGGAAACCTAGGTTACAAATTAACGGTTCAGATTGAATGATAGGTTATCATTCAATCTCAACCGTTGATTATAATATGAAACGGGCCGGTCCGGGGCCCCGTTTTTCTAAGGTGTAGGAACCGGCCCGCCCCGTAAATAACCATGCCCCGGCCCTCCCCGCCCCGTTTGTTCCCAAAAAAAAAGGGACCCGGCCCGTACCCGCCCCGAACCTACACTACCCGCCCCTACCCGCGGTTCCTTTACCCGTTTGCCCACCCCTAATTGAAGGTCTTATGTTGGACATGCATGAACTGCTTACAAACAGCCCTATAAACTCAAACGAGAATGTCTTGGAAACCAATTCATTTGCAAGGATGCACAAACTGAAACTACTCTGTCTTAGACATGTACGACTGGATGGATGTTATGTAGAACTTCCGACATGATTAAGATGGTTGTGCTGGCTCGAATTTCCTTTGGATTCAATTCTTGTTGATTTTTCTTTGGAGAAATTGGTAGTTCTTGAAATGCCATATAGCAACTTGAGACAACTCTGCAAAAGAGCAAACGTATGTTACCCTACGCTTTTCAACCTATTTTCCTTCTTTCTTTAGGTTTTAATTCTTTAATTAATTTCATATGTTGGAATCAACTCCTAGTTATTTTTTTGTTTTTTATTTTTCTTTGTTTCTAGTTTCTTCCTTCGTTGAAGATCCTTGACGTCAGCCATTCCCATGGCCTTACTGAAATCATTGACTTCTCACTTTGCCCCAAACTAGAGGAATTGATTCTTGTGGATTGCACCAGCCTGATTGATGTTCATGAATCCATTGGAAACCTGGAGAGACTCGTGTACTTGAATATGAGGGATTGCAAGAATCTTAGGATGCTTCCGAAGAACATGTGCATGCTTAAATCACTTGAAACACTCATTTTATCTGGTTGCTCAAATCTTGATGAGTTTCCAGTGGAGATGATGAAGGAGATGGAGTCTCTAGAGGTTCTTGCAACAGATGGAATTCCATTAAGGCTAGAAAGAAGTTCAACTATCTTGAGTTCTTTTCCATGCTCTTTGGTAAAGTTAAGTCTGAAGGGGTGCAATCTTTCTGACGATGTCTTTCCTACGGATTTAAGTAATCTATCCTACTTGCGAAGCCTACATTTAGATGGGAATCCAATTTGCAGTATGCCAGTTTTCATCAAAGGTTTGAGAAGGCTCGATCATCTATCTTTCTGGGATTGTAATAGGCTTGAATCGCTTGTGGGGTTGCCAAAAGTACACCAATATACAAGTATAGAAGGATGCATATCATTAAGAAAAATAAAATATCTTCACCATGAGCAACGGTCTGAAAGGTACTATGTGGGTGGCAACCACAATCTAGTTGAGTGGGAGCATAGATACAAGATAGAGCCTATTGATAGAGTTGATGTGGAAATAATCAAACTTTTGGGCTTGTGCAACTTGGAATCCATGCCAGCTGTTCGAATGCATAATCCACACACAATCGTTGATCAAAAAGTGGTCCCCGTCCAGGTGCGCCTCTCTTTCTCTCTCTCATAAGTCTTAAATATATAATGGGAAAGAAACGACTGAGTAATGTTGTGATGATTATGGCAAATACATAGGGACTGTATCAATATGGTATATTCAGCACATTTTTTGCTGGGAATGAGGTTCCAGGCCGGTTCAGTTATCAAAGTACCAAGTCCTCCATATCTTTTATAGTCCCTTCACTACTTGCTAGTCACAGAATTCGAGGCTTGAACATCTTTGCTACCTATGCAAACGAGGGGAATTATAATGATCTATCGCCCATATATCAACCAATACTGACTAAAGTGAGTAACAAGAGCAAGGGTCTGAAGTGGATCTATCGCCCAGATTTCTATGGAATTCCAGGAGAGGGAGAAGATATGATATGGTTGAGCCATTGGAAGATGGAGAACGAAACAATATTACAATGTGGAGATCAAGTGGTGGTTTCTGTAGTGGCCGATGAGTTGTTTATAAAGGAGTTTGGTGTCGAGCTTGTGCAAGAACACCAGAATAATATAATGACAAGTACCCAACACAACACCAAATCAGATCCTAATTATCCATATGTCATCGGTGGAGATTTGTCCAAGTGGGAGCATATACCAGGAATATACTTCCTTGGTTACCGTAAAGACTATGTTGAACAGACTATGAAATCTCCGCGGAGTATTTTATATCGCCTCATCATGGACACTGATAAAGAAGACATTGGTATGTTTCCGCGGACATTTTTAAATCGCCTCATCATGGAAAGTGATGAAGAAGACACAGGTATGCTATGTCGTTGTATTGCAATGAATTATACTCCATCCAAACACTTCCAAGTTCGTCTGTATTCAATTCAAAATCATAAATTTTATGTTATTTGTATGTTTTCAGACAAAGAAGAAGGGCAGGAGGATGAACCTGATTACACAATTGGAAGGACGAGGGATGCCAATAACAATTGCGGCCTCAAAGGCTGGAAGGTGCTCCTTACAGCTGCCGGCTTATTTTTCACGCTTGCCCTAGTAGTTCGGTCCTCCATCTCCCAGAAAAAGAAGCAACAGTAGTCCACAAACGATCCATGAGTTTGTAATTTTACTTGACACAGACATCTTTGGATTCCCTCCTTGTTTTCAAGATGTTTTCTGCCTTTAAAAACTTCGGGTTCAAAGCTAAGCGCTTAACCACTTGAGATATAAAGGCCCCCAGCAATTAGATATCGAAGTTCAAATTTGTTCAACATCACCAAATATTGCACAGCTCAAATGTGTTCAACATCATCACATACTGAAATATATCTAGCATTAGAGATGCTATTTTGGCACCATGGAAAGCAAAAAAATCCTATTTGCTTATAAATGTCAAAGTTACAGAGTTTAATTGTCATTTACAACAAAATCATGCCTCTTAAAGACAGATAATCAAATAGTGCAAAATTGAGGCTTCCACTCCACAGTTGCAGCGTTATTAGGGTCAGGAAGCATTAGGAGGAACAGCTGTCACTGAGGCAGATAATCAAATAGTGCAAAATTAGAATAAAAAAACAATAGAAGTTCAGGATTGATGAGGTTCCAAGCCCACTACAAGCTGCTGAGACAATGCAGTGTCATTGACTTCAATAGACGCAGATACGGATTGTTTGAATGAAACTTCCCTCATGACGTAGATACAGAAGAGTCCAAATTGTTTGAAAATCATTAAAGTTAATGGCGCATGAAGAGTACTGAAACACTCACAGCCCTCGCACACTGGTTGCACATCGGGGCCATCCAAAAAGAAAATTGAGGCAAACACCACAAACAACCCAAAATTTGCTCAAACGCCGTATCAAATTAATTATAAACAGCATCCATCCCAACAATGAACTTGTACCTCATTTGGGAGTTAAAATAGCACATGGGAAAATTGTAAATTCCATGGGACATTTAATTCCAATGAATTTATAAATGGGTCCTCAGATTAGTATAGAATTATAGTTAACCACAATTATATGCAATCAGTACCTTTCCCTTTGCAGTGTTCTCTCCCACAGGAACCTGCACATCAATAACTCGTGTTTAAATTACTAAATGTTAAAAATATGAAGCACAAATGTATCTGAGCATGCGCGTGAGACCTTGGGAACTCTGAAATTTTCATTTTTTTCAATTTAGATATAAGAGTTAATGTCTTACAGTGCCAAATACAGCAACTGCTAATTTCCACATCTGCATCTGCCCAACCATTCTGGTTGGGTCTTTTATATAATAAGCAACTTGTTCACTAATATTCTGCAATTGGAAAAAGAAAAATGAATTCCTAGTGATATCTGGCAAAGCATGGCACAAGTTAGTCATAGGGAAAGGCATGTTTACAAGTTCAATTATAGAACCAGACCTGATTAAAAGCATGCGGCTCGCTTTTAATATCAGCAGTGCCTGTGGTCACCTCCGTCTTCCTCTGCCATTTGTCTATCAATTTGTTTCTGAAAGTAGCTATTCTACAAGATACAACATGACAGGCCTTAGTTAGACCAAGTAACCCGCATGGAAATGCACATACTAATGAAAAGTTGAACATAGTAGAATAAATTCCTAAAATTCATGCAAGAAAAGTTATCGGAGCATGAAAGAATTTATACAGAACTACCCAAGAGTATACTTCAAGATGTTTTCAAGATGTTTTCTGCCTTTAAAAACTTCGGGTTCAAAGCTAAGCGCTTAACCGCTTGAGATATAAAAACCCCTAGCAATTAGATATCGAAGTTCAAATATGTTCAACATCATCAAATATTGCATAGCTCAAACGTGTTCAACATCATCAAATACTGAAATACATCCAGCATTAGCGATGCTATTTCGGCACTGTGGAAAGCAAAAACATTTTATTTGCTTATAAATGTCAAAGTTACAGATCTTAATTGTCATTTACAACAAAATCATGCTTCTCAAGGACTCGACTCCCATTGAAAAATTGTGTAAATAAGTATAACAGATACAAGATTGAATACTATATCAAATAAATAAACAGCAGACAATTGCATCGCTACTACACTACGGAGCTGGTTTCTGCTTCTTCAACCTGAATTATTAGGGTCAGGAAGCATTAGGAGGAACATCTGTCTCTGAGGCAGATAATCAAATAGTGCAAAATTAGAATAAAAAAACAATAGAAGTTCAGGATTGATGAGGTTCCGAGCCCACTATAAGCTGCCGAGACAATGCAGTGTCATTGACTTCAATAGAAGCAGATACAGATTGTTTGAATGAAACTTCCCTCATGAGTCCAAATTGTTTGAAAATCATTAACGAGGATACCGGGCATCACATGGGAGGATAAAATCATTAAGAATTTCAAAAGCCACAACTTTTAAATGCAATCTGATTGCATGTGTTTTGAACTACATGAAATATTATACATTGGGTAAACAGTATTAGTATATCACATTCAAATGCAATCATTCATGTATGAAGTATGAGATGCCCTGATAGTTTTACCAGAAGATGATGGGTCAATTGTCTCAAAAAATTATTTCAGTAATGTCTGGTATAACTCAGAGTCATCCAAAACTTCGGGGTCACCATCAGCTTGTGCACCAGCATCAGATTGTGTCACCTATCGAAGTGAAAGAATAAAATTACTCAATTTGTGCAGATGGAAATATAACTTTTTATAACACATCAACAAGGTAATTAAAGCGGACCCCACAGGCTGCACATCGAAGTGGCAAACAAATCAAAATTTTAAATAAAAGATAGTATTAAAGTTAATGGCGAATAAAGAGTACTGAAACAATCACAGCCCTCGCACACTGGTTGCATGATTTATTCTTATAGCAATAAAAGGCACAAATTCGTCAAGTCACATCGGGGCCATCCAAGAAGAAAATTGAAGCAAACATCACAAACAACCCAAAATTTGCTCAAACGTCGTATCAAATTAATTATAAACAGCATCCATCCAAAACAATGAATTTGTACGTCATTTGGGAGTTAAAATAGCACATGGGAAAATTGTAAATTCCATGGGACATTTAATTCCAATGAATTTATAAATGGGTCCTCAGATTAGCATAGAATATAGTTAACCACAATTATATGCAATCAGTACCTTTCCTTTTGCAGTGTTCTCCCCCACAGGAGCCTGCACATCAATAACTCATGTTTAAATTACTAAATGTTAAAAACCAATCTTGTTATGATGTTAAAAATATGAAGCACAAATGTATCTGAGCATGCGCGTGAGACCTTGGGAACTCTGAAATTTTCATTTTTTCAATTTAGATATAAGAGTTAATGTCTTACAGTGCCAAATACAGCAACTGCTAATTTCCACATCTGCATCTGCCCAACCATTCTGCTTGGGTCTTTTATACAAGAAGCAACGTGCTCACTAATATTCTGCAATTGGAAAAAGAAAAATGAATTCTTAGTGATATCTGGCAAAGCATGGCACAAGTCAGTCATAGGGAAAGGCATGTTTACAAGTTCAATTATTGAACCAGACCTGATTAAAAGCATGCGGCTCGCTTTTAATATCAGCAGCGCCTGTGGTCACCTCCGTCTTCCTCTGCCATTTGTCTATCAATTTGCTTCTGAAAGTAGCTATTCTATAAGATACAACATGACAGGCCTTAGTTAGACCAAGTAACCCTCATGGAAATGCACACACTAATGAAAAGTTCAACCTAGTAGAATAAATTCCTAAAATTTATGCAAGAGAAGTTATCGGAGCATGAAAGAATTTATACAGAACTACCCGAGAGTATACTTAAAGTTAACATACGGCAACATAGATTTTTACAAGTATAATGTACAAATGAATTTCTTGGTTCTCTGCCGGCCCCTTTAGATAACAAACTAATTTAATTTAGTACCTAATGGAATTTAAAGGTCAGAAAACTATCGTCTGGTACATTTCATATTGAACAGTTGAGACAAACTTAATAACATAATAGCCTGATGTATTAACTGATAAGAACTATGTATTGAAATATAACAAAAGTTAGACACTAAGGTATTGAAATACGGCAATAATAGTAAGGTACCTGAATCCACCATTTACAAGAATTTTAGACAGTAAAACAACAAAATTCCAAAGTTCTTTTTGCTGCTCCAAATGGATCAGCGTAGTATGGCATGAACAATAATGTTAAACAATATTTCAGTTTTATAGATAGGCTTCAATATAACAAGAGCATATCTAAATAGTAGAATATGATTCTTCTTTTCAGAATATCCAAATTATGATCTGAGTACCTCGACAGCAACTAAGAAATTGGTGACCAATCCTCATCACCATTACCATCACGATCAATGTTCTTAGATGACTGTGACTTCTTAGATTGTCCAGATTTACCTACAGAACAGGATATGTATTAGGAGAAGCAATACATGAACATATGCAGTACGTAGTTAATGAGAATGCAAACAGTACACACTAGGACAGCCAATTAGACCATGGTAGCCCAAAAGCCAATTTTTTTTGCTTAATCAGGCTAAGGCTTACATGAGATCAAGCAGGAAAGATTTGTGCTGACATCCTTGGGCAGATTTGAAATCCGGCTTCATCTTGGCTATCCTCAGATAAGAAAACAAGACTCAACTGATTTACCTTCTATGCCAACATTATGCTTTTGACAACAACAATTACCTACCTCTAGAGCGGTTATTTAATTGATGTTTCCTTGAAAGCTGTAATCAAAATCACAAAGTGTGTAATTTTTGTTGATCTACTCTGAACTTCCCACCTAATACGCGTAAACCATCACATATTTGGACTGGCTTGTTTTCAGTAACTAATCATTAAAATTCTAAATAAGAAAAACTTCCAACTATTTCTAAAAAAGAACATTTCAGACTCCAGTTAATTTAGGCAGGACAGAGGAGATAAAGATGAGTATTTTCTTCCTTGACCAACCAAATAATGAATGAGAAGGAATTTCTCCCCTTCTTTTTCCCCTCCTTGCAGACTACACACGCCATTCAGAAAGGAAGAAATCTCATTCGTGCATTGTCAACTCGATAGCAATCCACATATTTAATTCCTCTTGTAGCCAAATCTTCTAACCCAACCCAACCCAAATTATATGCAGTTTATTTAATAATGCAATCATCTTCCAAGAATAAGGTCCAAATATGTACCCTTCCATCCTGGATGTCTATATTTCTATCGAATGGAACAATTTGCAATAACACTATGTTTACTAGTACTTAACAATTAACATAAATACTTACACCAACAACAACAACAATAAAAGATTGGCACAGAAAGCATAGGTCCGTAAAACGCGTAGTACTTACCACATGCAATGAATGACACCCTCAGAAGCTGATGCTTCTAGGTTATCATATACGTAACCGCAAACTTGGTTTCTTCAAGGAGAATGAAGCGAAGTTCCTCCTCGAAAGAGGAAGGAGCGGAAGGGCTTCGGTATCGGTAAAGAAAGAAAGAAAAGGTGGATAAAAGTAAAGGTGGATAAAAACTTAGAATTCAACAAAGATTGTGTAAAGCAATAAAGCTCAGTTCATGTGGATTTTGGGGGAAAAAAAGGTCCGAAACTTAACAATCAAGATTAGGGGAAACAATTAAAATGTAAAATTAACAACAATTAAACAAATTAACAAACTGTAAACCCACCAAAAAAAGACCCGAAAAAAAAAAGCAACTGACCTTAAAACAAAGAACAAACAGACAGAACAGAAAGATGAATCCCCAAAATGAGAGAAAATGAAACAAATAAGGTAGTAAACAGAGAGATGAATCCCCCAAAACCTGACCTAACGTACTAAAAAATTCAAAAATCTAAGCTAACAGTAAAGAATCCCATTAAAAAAAGGAACTTATCAGTTGCCTCTGTTGATGACCCCTACCCCTCTCCTGAAATCCTGACGACCCATATGGTTTTCTCTGACCATCCTCACTCTCCCACTTGTGAAATCCATCTGCAGCAACAGCGCTGAGACCCCTACCCCTCCCCCTCGCTCTTTCTCCCTCTCCCTCTCCCTCTCTCAGCCTCCAACCCCGAAACCCTCATTGAATGACAACAAATGCAAACCTACCAGCTACCCCCTAATTCTCTCAAAACCGAGAGGACAAAATTGCCCTTCCAAATACACCATCCCCACCATCGGATTGTAATCTTTGATGGGCAGAACTGTAATTAAATCATTGAGAGCCTGACTGAGGGCCGGGCTTCTTACCGAAAACCAACAGAAGGCTCATGAAGAGTAAGAGAGAGCCCAAACCCCAGCCCAACACAGATTCGGTGGCAGCATTGTGTAAATAAAGCAAAATCAAGGGGCAACAATTTGACTGTAGCTTAGCTACAGTCAAATTACTTCTTGAACTTAAGATGCAGCTGGGAAAGTAGGCCGCTCTAGCCATTTTCGAACTTGGTTGCTGCGAAAAGAGTACACTGCTCTAATCAACTTAGCTAAGACTTAATCCGCTAAACAAGATATTGATCATTTAGTTTTCCAGATTGTCATGGCATTCGTCTGCAATTTGTATCCATAACCACCATAACCAAGTAGTTTTCAGGTTTCAACTAGCATTATAAATTTAAGGGAGATGTTAAAAAGTCGTTGCAATCTTCTATATAGAAATTGTTTAATCTTGCGTAATGAATCGATAACAATACCTTTGTAACCAACTTAAACTATGAATATTTTGTATTCCTTGTTTTCTTTTTGGGAACAAACAATATGATAGTTTACTCTAAATTATAGCAAGTGTAAAAAGTTTGAGCTCTAGAAGCAGTGAGTTAAGGAAGAGAAGGACATCATCCAATAAGGCAATCCACTGCTCGTTTGTATATATAAGAGCTTAAGCACTAAACAGTTAGTACTAATATATTAATTCAATTGACATTTAACATAACAAGAATATTTCGTCACAGGGGAGGACTTTCCCTCAAAAAGAGACCCTTTTTGGATCTCTCCCTCCAAAGCCCAAGGATCAAGTGATCTAGGCTTTTGAAATTTGATCCAACGGCTAATAATTATTATAGCTTTTAAATTTTTTTACTAACTTCTCTGTTTTTAACCGTTGAATCAAATTTTAAGGCCCCGGATCACTTCATCATTGAGCTTTGGAGGAAGAGATCTGGAGAAGATCTTTTTCCCTTCCCCTCTAATCCTATGATCTTCGGTCCTAGTACTTCTTTCCTTTATAGCCAAGACTTGGGACCCTTTTTTTAAGGGACCAGTTGATGGCTTTTCCACAACAATTCACTTTTTTCAGTGATTGAAAAGACTCATAGAGGCATTTTAGCCTCTCACTGACCACCATGGTGCAATTCACCAACCCCAAATAAGGATGGACAAAATACCTGCGGGTATGAGTAACCGCGGTTACGGGCCCATTTAAAATTCATGATTATTGTTATGAGTAACCATTTAAATAACGGGTAATGTTAGGGAGATCAAAATTTAAACAAAATTTGCAAACTAAATGATGTGTCACCAATAGGAAATAACCACGTTAATCAACAGTTAAGTAATAATTCAATCAGTAGCAACCACATCATTTGATAACCAGACAACTTTAAATATAGTTGCTAATCCGGATTTTTATGAAGAAAAAAAAAAAACAAGACATATAGAGATTGATTGTTAGTTTATTACAAATAGTGAAAAATTGTTGGATCGTTACAAAGTACGTTGCTCAACCGAACCAAATAGCAGATTTGTTCACAAAAGCATAGGGAAAGGATTCTTTCTCAGTTATATTATACAAATTGGGAGTTTTTGATATTCACTCTCACTAGAAAGAAAGTATTGAGACGTCAATTACATTCTATGCAATTAAGAGTCAGATTGTCATCCAAATTCTGACTAATTAATTTTTTTTAAATTTTTTTTACACACCAACCATGTGTGGATTTTTCCTATTACTATTATTATTAGCCATTAATTGTGAAATGCATGGCTGTAGAATCTCATGGATTTTATCTCTTTACTTGTAAGTGAAGGTTTTAAGTTCGAATTTCATAGATGATAAATTCGATACCAAATTAAATTGCGTATTGTGTGACTAATGTAAAATATATCGTTGTACTCAAAACAAAACAAAAAGAAAAAACAAAATTATGGAACCTATGGTGTGGTGTTGTCTTGTCTTGGTGCGGTGTGGGATGTCGAAAACACAAGCAACAAAAGTAGTGGTGGTACCGAAACAGAGAGAGACCCCTTTGGGTTTCTGCGCCCTTTTTCCATTCTTTTGGGTCCAATTGTGCACTTTACGTTCATGAAATTCCGACCACAAACTAAATTAACGAAATATCAAGCCCAATAAAATAAAGCCTTAAGAGGAAATAAGTCTATCACTCATTGCCCGAGCTAGTTAGCTATTGCAATGCTATCGTAGGAGCCATATTACTAGTTGATGCCAAAATCTTGGACATTGGATGTTGGATACGACTCATGTCCAAATACTTGTATTCAATCTCTAATGTCTCAACGAAGCTGAGTTGTCACAAAAGTTTGATGATGGAGGTTTCGCTTGTTCATACTCACTATGTTTTGTGTGAAACCAATATGGCGAGTACAAACAAGCCGAACATTCATCATCAAACTTTTGATATCTTCAACCAGTGAAAGAATACGCTAAAGTCATGGTTTATCTCTATTGAAGTAGGTTTATTAAAACTTGAAAATATTTGTAAGACCTAAGCGTTTAGCTCAAACTAATCCAGATTTCAATCCTAAATTAAATTTTTGCTTCAATCACATAAGTAATAGCAAAAAGGATTCTTGTTATTCCATTTGTGTCGAATAATAAAACTAACTGCAGCTTGTCCTAAATTATAGACGCAACCATCAAAATTTAATGAAAGCAACTACAAGTAATTCTTTAAGGACTTGCTACAGTACTTACAAATACTTAGTGCCATTACAATTATGATCATGAATGCTTATCGAATATCATTGCAGCAAATCCAAAATCTAATTTTCAAATGAAGATAGTACCAAGTACGTGTTGGTATCACTTATAAAATTTAAGAAAGAAAACAGATAATTTCTTATGGATGAGGGAATATTGACAAGTGTCATTTACATGGCCTTAGACTAATATTTCAAAATCCGTCTTTTCCTACACGCTCTCTCTCTTCCTACCTTCATCTCCCTCCCTCTCTTCCCCTCCCTCCAAGCCAATCTCTGTCTCTGTCTTCAAACAGACCTTCTCTTCAAAACCCCTTTTCCCATCTCTCTCCCTCTCGTCTTTTGTCTCTGCTACCACGCCTACACCATGGCAGTAGCTGAGCTATCAACACCTTCATACACCAAGACCCACCTTTTTCAATTATCCCAGCTCTCACCCTTATCGACCCATCTCCACTTTCACCGTCGTGTCGCCTTTCGGCCGCTCCCTCACACTCGAAATGCCAGAATCTGTTGCTCTGTTGCACCCAAGTAAGCTTTAATATCTTTACATATCTCCACCATTTCTTTTTCTCTTTTCTTTTTTTTTGGGTTTTTGTTTTGTTTTGTTTTGTGGTAGTAGTAATTTTCTTGTTCCTGATGTCAGTCAAGTTCAAGCTCCAGCAGCTCCAGCGCAAACCGAAGACCCGAAGAACAAGCCTGAGTGCTTCGGCGTGTTCTGCCTCACCTATGATCTCCAAGCTGTAACCTTTCTTCGTTTTGTTATCTGGGTTTATGTTGATTCTGTGAACTTTGGTATAGATTTGTGGGGTTTTCACCTTGTCTTAGTAGGGAAACTCTGGAGCTTCAGTTTATCATATAAGTGTACATATGGTGTCTGTCAATTTGTCTGGTCGAGCTGTTCTAGTATATTTAGACTTTCATTACCAAAAGTAGAATGTTCTCTGTTCTGTTGAGTAGTTACTGCATAAGACTCATTTGTTATGTACTGTAATCTATGTTTTACAATTTTGTTGCATAAATAGTGAATCAGACAAAAACCGTCGATTTTGGGGTTTTTTTTTTTTTTTTTCTGTTTGTTGCTGGTGAAAGACTTTCTGCTGAAGATACATGCAGTTTTAAAGTATCCAAACTGGGCTTGTAATGTTTGTTTGTGTGTGTGTGTCTGAGAGAGTGAGAGTGAGAGAGAGAGAGAGAGAGAGAGAGCATATCTGATTATTGACCTGCAGTTGCTTTTCCTTTGCAATGAATTAAGTAATGTATCTAATAAGGTCCAAAATTCACAGGAAGAAGAGACAAAATCATGGAAGAAATTAATTAATATTGCAGTCTCAGGTGCAGCTGGGATGATATCTAATCATCTACTATTTAAAGTAAGTCTTTCTTGCATCCTAAACCTCTTGCACTTTGTCCTTTTCATTAATGGTGGCTTTGCTTTTTGGAACTTATTGACTAGCAATTACCTATTTTGTTAAATTGTTAATACTTTCAAAACATTATATTTCTATACCTGTAATTAGGAGTTCTATTCCCATTGGGTCCTGCAACCATCCAGTCCCTGCCTACATGTTATCTTAGTCTTAGACTACGGTCTTTCCGATAACCTGCAACAATCTAAACCATATCAGGTTAAACTGGAAAATAGAGCTTGTAGAGACATGTAGTACTCTCAACTGACAAGAAACTGGATTATGCTTTAATTTGCTGAGCATGTAGAAATTCATGCAATTGTGGGATGGCGCCTTTACTTGATATGCTACAGTGTGTGAGCATAAAAGAGAGAAAAAACATATTCTAACCCTCTCTAGTTTTTAGAATATAATCGCATTTTTGTTATTAGAATTTAACAAGTTCAACATTTTCAACATGCTTTCTTACTGTCCAGCTTGCGTCAGGCGAGGTTTTTGGGCCAGACCAACCTATTGCGTTGAAACTATTGGGATCTGAAAGGTCCTTCCAAGCTCTTGAAGGTATGGTTCTGACATAGACATAATTTAGTGTAGATTTACATACAGTTGCAGTCCAAAGCAGCATTTTCATATCGCCTACACAAATAATATAATTAGTAAACAAATCTTTGTGACCCTTAATATTGATTTCTACTGGTAATAGTTATTTATTCATACAAATCAAGTAATCGCATTGTTGACTTCCTAATTATCTGATAACTAGAAGGATTAAGTTAAGTTGGTCGGCAAAATCTGAGATTCCCCAGTTTCTTAATAGTTGTTGAGAATGAATCCAACATTGATGAGAGGAGGGACCTTGCATGTGCTTGTATGTGGTTGGGCGACTCCCCATATTGCCAATTGGTTTTATTATGGAACCTCAACGGCCACACATGCTCCACTTCACCCAAGTTGTGTTGCCCACGTGTTAGGCTTGAAAATTTGTCACATGTGAGGGGGCGTGTTGAGAATGAATCCCACATTGATGAGAGGATGGACCTTGCATGTGCTTATAAGTGGTTGGGCTACTCCCCATATTGCTAGTTGGTTTTATGGTGGAACCTCAACTTTCTTCAATACTACTGTTCCCTATGTTTAAAAGAGGAACTGAACAATGTCAATTGTCGTCTGTCTCACTTGAGGAAGAAGGTTCAGCATCCAGATATCGTGGACAGGATACATTGCAGATTATATTTTATCACCGTCAGATACAATGTTACCTCTAGTTGTGGGTGTGCCTGTGTTTCTGCAGTGTTATTAGGGCAGTTAGCTAGAATTACAGTGGAAGAAAAGTTAATTAGTGAATGATGTATCTATTGGAGTTGCACAAGTTTTGAATTCAATAACTTAATGTGTTCACCAAAAGTGAAGCCTTCTAAGTTATGTATATGTGCGGCTCATTAAGAGAACAGTTTCTGTGTTCAGGAGTTGCTATGGAATTGGAGGATTCTCTTTTTCCGTTGTTGCGGGAGGTGAGCATTGGCATTGATCCATATGAGGTTTTCCAAGATGCAGAATGGGCTCTTTTAATAGGAGCAAAGCCTCGAGGTCCTGGAATGGAAAGAGCAGACTTGTTGGATCTGAATGGGCAGATTTTTGTCGAGCAGGTTCTGTTAGATTTTATATGATATCACTATCACACATTGGCTCAATAGTTTCTGATCATATATGTTTTGTTTCAAAAATCAGGGAAAAGCTCTTAATGCTGTTGCATCACATAACGTCAAAGTGATTGTAGTTGGAAACCCTTGTAACACAAAGTTAGTAATTGTCTTCCTTGTCTTTTCAATTTTTTGGGATGGAAGGATGCACAGGTTGCGGAGATATGCCCATCACTTTTACTTATATTCTTCCTGATGCAGTGCACTCATCTGTTTGAAAAATGCTCCAAACATACCTGCAAAGAATTTTCATGCTTTAACACGGCTGGATGAAAATAGAGCAAAATGTCAGGTACATATACCTCGCAAACATTAGTAGAATAGACAATAATCAATATTAGGTCATGACCAAAAGGAATAATCATTTAACATAGTTGGCTTATGATCTATTCAGCTAGCCCTCAAAGCAGGTGTCTTCTATGATAAAGTGTCAAACGTGACCATCTGGGGAAACCACTCAACCACCCAGGTCATTTAATCATTCTCTTTTACAAGCGTGGATTATTTTCAGTAGCTTCTCGTTTTGAAGAAGATTTGCATAATTCTTATCAGGTGCCAGACTTCTTAAATGCTAGAATTAATGGCTTGCCGGTCAAAGAGGTCATCAAGGATCACAAATGGTTAGAGGAAGAATTTACCGAACTTATCCAGAAGGTAAGACCGAACGTATATTTCCATAATCCAACATTGTCTAAAACCATATCTGCTCCTCATTTTTAATTACTGAAGACGTATCCAATTCACAGAGAGGAGGTGTGCTCATCAAGAAATGGGGAAGATCGTCAGCTGCATCAACTGCCATGTCAATTGCAGATGCCATAAAGTCTTTGGTTACTCCTACCCCAGAGGGCGATTGGTTTTCATCTGCAGTAAGTTTGTGTTTGTTTGATATGATGCACGTTATGTAAGCCTATATATACTGTCTGTCTTCTGTAACAACCAGACCATCTTGAGAATCCATATGATCAGAACTCCATTAGTTTCGATGGAGAAACATTTGACTTTGATGCCCAACTCTCTGAGAAACAAAAGGAATTAAGTAGAATTTTCTCTGTGTTTCCTTCTCTAGTTTTTGGTTGCCACTGAAAGTCTCTGCATATTATTGCATGCATATAAAACGCCCCAGATCAATATTAAACTGAACATCATAAATGCGAATGTTAAGTTATTCTGCATTGATTCAACGCCACAAAAGTTCATGATGAGTTGCTCTTCGTCCCTTGTGTACCATCCCATTGCAGGTTTACACAAATGGAAATCCCTATGGTATAGCAGAGGATTTAGTATTCAGTATGCCATGCAGATCTAAAGTAAGTCTATACAAGAGATTTTCCTATCCTTGTGTTTATGTTTGTGATATAGGCACTTCTAATAAGTTATTCACAACCTCCAGGGAGACGGCGACTATGAACTTGTAAAGGACATACAATTTGATGACTATCTTCGCAAGCGAATAAAAAGGGTATACATTGTTGACTGGATTGAAGTACTATACTGGCACGAAAATTAGTAGTGTATTGTAGGCATTGACTGAACTAGTGTGGACTTTGTAGTAGTTTTGGACTACTTGTCTCATTTGACGTGATAATCTTTCAGAGCGAAGCTGAGTTACTAGCTGAGAAAAGATGCGTCGCTCACCTTACTGGGCAGGTACGTTTTTCATTCTTACACTATTGCTACCTGTTGACACCGCTCGCGCATCTTAATCTCCATGTTCATTCTTTTCCAGGGTATCGCTGTGTGTGATTTACCCGAGGATACTATGCTTCCTGGAGAGATGTAAACCTCAGCAGACAAGTTCCACGTCTCGAGAACTTTTACGAAGGATACGATACCACATAGAGCACATGAGGCAAATAATGGAGCATCATTTATGTAGTAAGAGCATGAAAATAAACCAGAGGGAGTAATGTAAAAGTCATTAAATTTTGAGGTTTCTGCTGTGCAGCCTAGATCCTGAACATTTACGTCTAAATTTATATTTGTGTTTGAGTTGCAAATAACCGTAATCCTGAACATTTACCTCAATTGCTCTCTGATTCTTATCTCCTTGATTAAAAAAAATGTGCATTATCTGTCACATACGAAGTTACACAAGTTTCAAACAGGTCTTCGCGGTTCCAGCAGATCAAACTCGACCCTACACAAGTTAGTAAACCCATGCAAGCATTTCTGCTGAATTTTCAGGTTGACAGCAAGGCAAGCAAGAACTGTCTGAAAATCGACCCTTTCAATTACAACGAAATTGTATATAGAACGAAATAAGGTAGTGAAACAAAAATTCAGTTTTACATTCATTCAGTATGTAGCTATTCAAAATATAACACGCTTTACGGTATCTTAAAACGGTTTGCGTAAATAATTAGTTCTGCAGTCAGTGTAACAATTAACTAAAATATCGAGTCTGCAAGAACATGCATCTTCTCCTATTCACTAGGGGAAGTTTACTACAACATCCTGAGATAGGCTCGACACCACCATTACTGTCGAAGCATCACCTGGTACAGATGTAGCTCCCGATTTTGAAACTCATAGAAAGAAACAGAACCCAGAGAAACATAAACAAAAACCATCCCCGCATCACCACACATCCCGTCTTTCCAGAGAGTGAGCCACCGACCGGCACCAGATTGCCAGAGTTTCCGTCATTCTGCGACAGCTGAACAGAAAACACAAGGTTGACCACCCCATCCTTTCCAAAGGACCAGTCCATCCTGTTGTCACTTGAAGTTATGTCTCTAATTCTAATCATGGCTGCAGTAACATGAACCGAACTGGAAGACGATGCACCAGAATTTAACCGAAGCATTGCTTCTTTAGCAGGGAACTCTGAAGCAAATGCAGGTGGAGCAGGTATGCTGCCCAACATCATGTGACTCGCCTTTTTGATGAAGGGATAGTTACCATCTGCACCACCATAATCGCACACAACCCAGAAGGTGAGGAAAACATGACCAGTGATGGAAAACAAAAATTATTAAATATCATGTAAAAAACCTAAACCTCCGGTACTCCTTATAATGATAGGTACACATTAAGAGAATCTAAAGGATAAGTTACCAAAAAGGGTATGATAGTGCATTTAATAGCTGAAATTAAGATACTATACCTGATTCAAACTTGCACTCAGGCATTTTCTTTGACAAAGATGCATCATCAGTATCCTCTGGTTGTACAAGATGTTCGCCTCCCATTGGTTGTGGCTCTGGTTGTACAAGATGATCGCCTCCCATTGGTTGTAGCTCAGTTTCACCATTCAGAAGCTGATATACAACAGTTTATTAATTGAAAGATGCTACTTAAAATCCTGAAATACAAAAGGAAAATGAAACTTGAGAATGTACCTTCTGGTCAGATGGACCTTGGTCAGGAACATAGCCACAAGAATCAAAATCAATATACTGAGAGATGTCATCATTGGCATCAAAGTATGTAAGGTACTCATCAAGCATGTCAAAGCCTGCAGTTGACTCGACTGGATTTGAAAGATCATTAGTTTCAAGGAACAGCCCATCACCAAATGGCTTATTCTCAGTAGCATCCAAATATGGTTCATTAAGTGAATAATTGACGACAGATGGATTTGCACCATCGCTTGGTTCAAGAAAGCATTCATCTTTGACTGGTTTTGCATCAGCCTCATAGTGCTCTGTCAAGTCAACAAACTTCAAGTCCTCGGGATTTTGTGAGGTTATATATTCATTTTTGACTGGGTTCCCAACCGTCTCATAATGCTCTGGGTATCCAAAGAACATCTGGTGTTCGCAGTATTTCAAAGTTTCCCCAGTGCCCATCACAGCCTTTGTATCATCTTCAACAAAGTCCCCATAATGCTCAATGTAGTTGCTCGTCTCCCCATGATAGAAGTTCAAAGGAGTTGGTGCACTTTCAGACAGAATTCCTGTGTCAAGATTCTGGGAAAAGAAAGTATTTATAAATGTACAGTATCCAAGCATGGCTTAGCTGAATCATGTGAAAAACTTTAGAAGAAACTGACGGAAAATGAAGGCCCCTGGCATCTCATATATGTGTTTTATATACCCAAGCAATCTACATACTATTATTTATGAAAACCCTCTTGTCAACCAAAGAGGATAAATGTCAATTATGCCCTCTTTAAACTAAATAGTTGAATAATACGTATGAATATAGTAATTTAGTCACACCAATATCTTATCTCTAACACACCTTAACTCTCTCTGTCCCAACCTTAATTTTCTATCTACACTAGTTTTTCCAAATTAAAATGATTAAGATGCCCTAGACCAGATGGAAAAAGGATGCAGATGTTTTCCATTTCTAATTTCCAGTCACATAAAGGTTCAGATGTGAAGATTAATCATCAAAATATCATGCGTAATGCATTATTCTAGAACACAATGATCTTTTCAATCTCACTACTACGGCATCATATCAGTTCCTTCAATTTGAAGATGCTTCTTGTGGCACCGGCCAGGACCAAGAATGTTTCGAAATCCATCAAATAATACCTATTGTCTTATTCTACAATCTGGTCCTAATTTGAATTTGTCCCCGTTAGCAGATCAGATCTAAGAACTAGTTAACGGTATCACGTGACAAGAACAAACAAAAATTACAGCGTAGTTTGAACTTACAATACAAGGGACATCTAAATGGTTAGAAGACGTAGCATCAAAGATCAACAAATCCCAAGGTCAGATTGCAACAATTCGGGGTTGAGGTAAAGGGTGACAGAGCATGAGAGAGAGAGGACACAAAGAAATATCATCCAGATCCATTTTAAAAGGACACCAAGATTCTGCCAACTTTCAGAAAATTGTACACTGTAAAAAATTACCAACACATTAAGGTATGGCAATTATGAATGATATCAATGCAACATTAACTTGTAATACTGCATTTATAGTTCATTTGATGGAAAGTTCTGCTGAGTGAACATTATTTGTTTCAGTATTCTAGGTTAGACAGTTACACACCTTAATGATGCTCTTTGAATAATAATTGAAACGTAAAAGAATTCCTGATATACATACTTAAAATGCAATAAATGGTTTCACAAATACATAAGCCCAGTTCAACAGAGAAAAAACTGTTTGTAACAGAAAAGGCAGAAAACTGCACTCCAGAGATATTTAGGGAACTATTATTAACACTCCAAAAATCTCATTCTAAACTCCCCACAAGTGTATTTTTCTTTCTAATTATAGAAAGTTCGGAGTGCAAAATGAGATTTTTGGAGTGCCAATAACAATTCCCTAAATTTAAGAATGCAAATAAAATTTTAAGAAACAATGCAAAGCTGGCAAAACTTACATAAAGTCTCGCCAAGTTTCAACCTTAAGGGGGAGACCATTTTCATAAGTTAAAAGAAAAGATAACCAAAATTCTGATAAGAAAAAGAAGATTGGAAAGCTAATGAGGTAGTTGTTCTGAACACACTGCTATCCAGAACAAAAGAAGAGCAGCAATATAAGCAAAAATAAGAACAAAAATCTTATTAGAGTAACTATAGAGGCTGTATTAGTTATTCTTCTGAATAAGTGGTGAAATTTAAATAAGTGATCCCGGAGTACAAAGCTTCAAATATTTTTAACAGGAACCGATGTATAAATTCAAATAAGATACTCCCATATTAGTAACATACACAAATACTCTTTGTTGTTTCCTTTCATCTCATTATAATCATTTCTTTATGAAAAAAATAAAAAAAACCACTAAGCTCCTAAAGCAAGGGCATAACAAGTCCATTTGCTGACATTGGGTTACTTATATATGTACAGCTACAACAGAGACCTTTCAGCATAGTCATGTACAGGATAGCCAGATCAAGTTAAAATCATTTGCCCGACCAACTAGGAGCCCTCAGCCATACTTAAGCTCCAATAGCTGGACACAGTCAAAATATCTACTTTTGATTTATCATAGCACATCCAGGGGTTTCCCACAACTGGGGAAGTTATCTTTAAATTCAATAAATTCCGGCCAAATCTACCCATTTCAGACAATTTGAATTCGCCTACAAAACACGAAATGAAAAGGGTGAATGAATAAAGAACCTGATCAAGGTCAAATGCTTCAACATATGCCCCATTGTTGACATCCATTGCTTCATTATCTGGCTCTTCGCTGACTGCCACTACATTAGCAGCCGCCTCTTCCCCAGGTACACAAGTCACGTCATCATCGTCCCATTCCTCCTCCATAACCGGGGCGCCGTACTTCTCCCCATTCTTCGGTCCCGTGCCACTCTTCTGGAATATCCTACAAAGCACATACGGATCCTTCTGTACCCATCCGCCACGACAAACCCAACAATCAATTCCAATTCCATAACATCACAAAATGCCAACAGAACAATAGCAACGTCAACAAAAATCCAACCTGTTGAATTCCAGCTTTTTCCAATTCCTCGTTGGAAAGGCGATACTCATGCATAACCCAATTGGTTCTTGCACCGGTGGGGGCTCGCCCGCTATGGAAAACCAGCGTCTTCTTCATCCCAACATCCCGGGAATTATGTTTAATGGGGCGATCCTTACCCGTAGTCTTCCAGTACCCTTTTTCAGTAGCCCGATTCGTCCTCGACGAATTTCCATACTTCTTATCCAGAAAACTGAAAAAGTACCACTCCAAGTCCCTAGTCTTCAGCTTCGACTTGCCTAATAAACCAGAAAACGAAAACCCAACAAAAATAAAACACAAATATAACCGCAATCAACGATATGATTCACGTATGTATACATATGTATGTATTGAAAAGCATAAGAAAAGGTAAGGATTTTTTACCAGGGAGGTCCCAAGGCTCGGTCTTGTAGATATCGATGACCGATATGGGGTCAAATCGGAAGTTCTTGCCGGAGACCTTACGCTTCAGATAGTACCAAACTAGTTCTTCATCGGTTGGGTGGAATCGGAACCCAGGAGCGAGTGAATTCTCTTTGCCGCGGGCCATGAATTAATCAAATCCAGCACACAAAAAAAAAAATGAGAATCTTTCTTTAGGGCTTCGAAACAGAAAGGAATCGAAAGAACTGAGAATTTGGAATCGGGAATTGGAAATTAGGTTAGATTAGGGTTTGGATTGTAACGAAATCGGAGAGCTGAATAGTCATTGGGTAGGTGTGCCAAGTACGATCCAGTTCGTCGTTTCGGTAAATATATAGCGTCGTTAGCCTCACCGAAAACTTCTCCGCGAAGAAATGGAGGTGATTTTTTTGGGTCACAGGTGGGTAGTTTTATGCCGCTTTACAGACATCGCAAGGGTAACTCATGTGGGATGCTGCACAGGTGCCACGTGGCGTGGGTGATGATATGGGCTGATGTAATTGCGTCCGTCAAGTTACTTGGAACGACACCAGATTAACGTACGAAGAAATATAAATCTGTACGAAAAAATTAATTGAAATTTCTTTTTCTCTCCGTTCACCTCTTAAAGAATTTCCATGTCTTTGGTTCTTCTTAAAAATAAATTTGAACTGCATTATTGTTAATTCACTGAGAGATTTAATCCACTCCTTCCCTCTTGAAAAAATTTAAATAGGAGGTGGAAAAGAAATACCAACTTTTTAGGAGGTATTGGGATAAAGAAATATTCTGGTTCATACCAAAACATATATATATATATATATATATATATATATATTAATACATTTTAATCTACTCCAGTTAGCCAACAAAAAATAATATTACATCTCTTTAAAATAATTTTTTGAGCAAGTGATCTTTTACCACAATGGTGGAAAAAAAGTTGAGTTCTTGCATGATGACTTGGTTTGAGTTCATCTGTGGCTAATTTAACATCTAATCTAACAAAATCTATTGTTTGACAAAAAAAAAATATTTGAAAGAAAGATGATTTAAACTTAGATACAAGAGCGTGAGTACACTACTTTAGTCAACTGAATTAATTCACATATGCCATATATACTAATTATTTAAAAGAAATTTATTTCTGATAAGTGGTGGATTGCCTTAGCGAATATGATCTACCTCTGCGACCTCCCCTCTTCCTTTTCTCTTGTTTAGAGTAATAATGTCGCATGTAACAAAAATTATTACTAATAATATATTAATTAAAAATAGTAAATATACCTAGATAAATTATAAAACAATCTTGAGGACAAACTCACATTTGGTATAACCAATTTTAAAATACACGTTGAATTACTTTCGTAGAATCTTACACATAATAATTTCTGAAATTCATTCAATTAACTCATTCTTCATGTGTGCTTCGTGTGATCAAATATTAAAATGCTTAACACATTATTTCTGATGCTCCACGCACATCGTGTGTTGTCGAATTTCTAACATTTTACCAAATTAAATGTATGACGCATTGTTTGTGATGCTCCACACATATCGTGTGCTATCGAGTTTCTAACATTATATGCACCAACCTCAACCTCTAACTTCCATTTTTTAATAAATTTGATGAAATAATTTATTGGGTTGTTTTCCTTTCAAATTAACATCATTTACAACTGTGCGGTATAAACTATTAAAGTGTCTAATATTTAGTTATGACGAGTTGCGTACAAGGAGATACATGTTTCATGAGATATATACTTAATTTATTAGAAGAGCATTGTAGTGTGTCGTTGTATGTAGATATATTTTTGTGTTTATGCAAAGATAATGAAACGTGTAATGTAATTATAAACAATTAGATACCTTTAGTTTTCAAAAAAAAAAAAAAAACAACAACAATTAGATACCTTTATTTTCTTTGATATTTTGCTACTCAACCTTGCTTATTTACCTTATCTTTGTAGATCACAGTGTTAGGGCTCGTTGGTGCTTTTAAAATGACTAAAAGCATTTCTAGTAAAATTGACTTTGGTCTGCAAAATGACTTTAAGTGCTTTTTGGAGGAAGCACCATATATGTGCTTCTTGCAGTAAGCACTTCGAGTGCTTTTCCATGACTTATTTGAATTTTTACTAAGGATTGATTTTTAAAACATTTTTATCAAAAGCGTTTTTCAATTATCTTAAAAGTATTTTCAAACGAGCCCTTAGACAACAGGGCAATATGCCTTGTAGAAGAGAGCTTAGGTGCTCCTTATCGTTTAGTTTAATTTGATGCTTAATTTGTGTATGAACTAGTGTTTAATTATTAGGAAAACTAATGAAAATGGCTTGAAAATTTTGAGTTTTAACGATAATGACAAAATAAAGGGTAAAGTGAATAGTACTAGGTTTGACTTTTTAATGTAAAAATACGATTTTTTGTTAAAGTGAACAGTACCGTAAGCTTTTCGTAACTCCTATTATTATTTCAAAGTGTTACTTTACTAATTCTTTGATGTATTTAAAAAATCAATGTTCAATTGTTTACTGGGGTGTGTTGCTCTTGATCCGCGCGTTATATTTATAAAAAGTTTCTACAAAAATGTACAGACAGTAACATAACCTAAAAACAAGAAGAAAAAGAAAACTCTTAAGGGGTGTTGTACGTGGAGTTTGACGAACTTGACTCGACTTTAAAATCCAAATGTATTCTATATAAATTTTTAAGGAGTCAATAAAAGTTAATGTATTAAATACAAACTTTTCATGACTTCTGAAAAATCTATGAAAATTTGGTAGTATTCAATTATAATTTTTTTGTGAGTCTACAAAAATCAGATGTATTCAAAATTTCATTTATTTTAAAAGATTTTAAAAAGTCATGGATTTTGATGGACTTTGAGTGCTTTTATAGTTATTTTTGTCATAGCAAATCAAGCCTCTCCCCATCAGATTCTAATGGATTTTATTTTTCTTTCTCTATTCTTTGGTGAGATATTTCACCACTACTATAATGCAACGACTACATTTATCACCACTTTCACCATCGTTATCACCACTTTCACCATCATGTCGCCACCACCACCTACACCATCATGACCATCACCTATGCCACCATCATCACCACCCCATCACCACCTCCCCCATCCTTACTCCTCTACCACCCCAACACCACCCTGCCACCACAATCATCTCGTGACACTTCCACCACCTTTGTTGCTACCACCACTTCATAAGATCATGATTGCCATTTCAATAATGAAGACATATAAATAATAATGCTTATTAATAAATTGGTGATTAAAAAGTTCATGAATATCGATAAAATTTTAAAAAAAATCTAGCATCAAACTGTCTAGAATCCTGCGAAAGTATCATTTAACTCCTTTCTTTTCTGCCAAAGTACATAAATTAAAATCTATAGAATTATATGAAGTTTATAATAATCCGTAAAAGTCCACCATATATGTGAAAGTCTGTAAATTTAAAAACTCAACAAAAGTCCATATAAATCTTGATACACAACACCACCCCCTTTAAACTAAGGAACATCGAACATTGGTATGATTCTTACTAAAAATGGTTCCGATGCGTAATTTTTTGTCATCGAAATTGAGTTTTTCATTGCTGCATAAAACAGAGTACAAGGAGCTTGTGGGAGCTAGATGGGGGTCTGTAAAATAACCTCCAAGAATGAAGGAGAAAGAGCGCCTATACCATCCTGCTCAACAGTTACAATCAATTATCATTCTCCAAATCACTTTCAATGAAGGGAGATAACCAAAGTGGTTCCCTGAAACTGATGCATTTCCTTACTAGTCCTCTGGGAATTGCAGTCCCAGCATTCAAGTAACCACTGTCTAAGCAATTACTTTGGTTAACTAACAAAGGCAATAAGCTCGAAAATTATAATAATTAGGGTCTAAAACTGCCGATTTCGATGACAGGTACAACACAGTTCAGCTTGCTACACGTACAGCAAGCTTCCTACACGGTTACAACATCGTTCGATTAACAACAGAGACAGCTCTTACCCTAACAGAGAAAACATAGACAGCTCTTACTCTAATAGAGAAAACATACTCACTATAGATAGTTCGACGAGGCCCCTAAGGGGCCGATAACTCATACAATGAACACCAAGGAGTACATACCACTACGAATCCACTAGGCGACTCGGACCTTCTTCAAATCCTCGTTCTCCTTGTTTAGGAGATCAATTCGGGCTTGAAGAATGTTGATCATGGCTTGGGCACTCATCATTTCAAACTTCAATGTCTCCCTCTCAATTGAGATTTTGTGGATCTCAGTTTGCAAAGTCTCTATGTATTTCAAGCAGCTGGTAGGCACAGAAGATTCCATCAAAGCAGCATTGAGTTCAGGAGGAGGTGCTGGGGTAGTATCTTTGGGTTCAAGGGATTCTAACAGCTGATACTCCACCAGTGCAGACAGAAAATTTCTGGTAGTCGTCATCGATGCCTCAGTTGACGCTGTTGTTGTTGTAGACGAGCAAGGGTCATGTGTCATCCCACTTGAAATCTCAGAAGCATTTGAATGGTTAGAATTTGAGTCGTTATGCCGCCTTCTTTTATACTGGCGTAGTTGCCCAGGTTGTCGATTAAACAAAGTTAGCAAGGGTTGTGCATCATCTGGACCTGGTGACGGAAAGTCATCTAATCTCTCTTCTCTATTAACCACACATGTCATAGGATAATCGTCAGTTTTCTCCGTCTTGCATGGTGGTAAAACAGTTTGATTCTCTGCTGGAAGTTCAGGAACAACAACAATAGCCTTGCTGATTGCCTGAGTATCCTGAAATGCGCAACCAGGATAAAGCAAATTGTGGATATAAGGAGAATGGAAAATACAAAGAAAAAATGAAAGAAGCTACGACAGGCAATCTAAAGTATTGAATATGATGAACTAAGACAATATAAATGGGAATGTCTCAAACAGGCCAGGTTGGTTGTTCACAATATACCATGATATCAACTTTGAATTTTTACAGTAGCACGTCACTGTCTACGTCTTTAAGTGTATATTCACTTACATAAGTTCCATGACATGTGGTTGATATTATGCATACAAAACATAGCAACAATGATAATAGACATGCAGTTGATAGTATGCATACAAAACGTAGCAACAATCATAATAACATGTAAATCAAAATCTAAATTGCACCACCATGGATAGTTTCAGCATATATTTAGAATTAAAACCTCGAGTATGAAAATAAGAAATTGAGATATTTATAATGATTCACGAGTCAAGAAATACAGTTACAATCCCCAACACAAAGACCGATGCTGAAGCCTACGCTAATAAAAGAACAACTTTTTTGGCAATGATAAAAAGAAGGCCTTAGATGTATGGTCAGGTAGTTTGGTTCTATGAAAGGCGTGTGCGTCTTTCATTTCAGATTTTTTGAATCCATGGTTTCAATATACAAAATGGTCAAAAAGAGTCATCTGTAGCACCAGTGCCAGAAAGTAGCACTACGAACAAGTAGCTTTTTAATTTCAAATTTATGTATCTTGGTTTCATTTTAGCTAGAATTTAAAGAGTGATTGTGATTTATATTATCCCGAGATTTCTAGGTGTTACAAACATATGTATGGCAGATCACAAATATACAGCAGGTCAACAGACTATGCAATAAAACAAAACTCAAGGCACATTTAACTACCATGTGGTAAAATCTACCTTTTAATAATTTACTTTCTTTTTAAGCAGTTCTATCTGTTATTTTTATCCACAAGATAACTCTTGCATGTAACAACTATCAATTAATACTAGCAAAACAGCCATACTAAAACCCAAACGTAAAGCATTGGTGGGGGGATAATGGCGAACTTCATTAGAAGACTGAGAACCATGTCACTCATTCAAATTAATATCAGGATTCTGGAGTATAATGAAATCCTGATGTTTCTACTCATTACAAGGGGCTAATGACAACCATTAAAATATTCTTTTAAACTCCAGAAGGATCTATAAATTAACCTGAACAACGCCTATAGCTCTGCAAATCTCCGTAATAAAAAGAAAAGGAGAGCACAAATAATGGAAACACTGTCGTCATGATTTGCCTAATTCAGTTTCATAATTTTTCTATAGGGTTTTGTTATTATCCAGATCCTAGGCTTTTCTTCAGGTCTAGCTCTCCCCTAGTTTAACCATTTTTCTTATGCAAAACACAACTCTTTTTTTTTTTTTTTTGGAAGAACAGAAAAACATAGACTGGCAAGTCGAGTATATATAAAGGGGGTGAGAAGGGAGAGAGAGCCAGTTAAACTAGTAGAACAGTGACCTAAATAATCACCTGGTTAAGTTCCTTTCTGTACCATTCATAAGTTGACCTCGGTGTTAACAATAACAATTGTTTGACATAACAAGAAAATCTTAGGAACTGCAAAACTTGAATGTTTACTATTTAACCTACTTAGGAATCAAGAAGGTAAATTGTTTTGCAAAAGCCTCGTATATCCCCCACTTATGGTAAAAGATCATTAACAAACATATCATGACAACCAACAAAATCCACTTTCATCACATTTGAACCTAAATCATTGTTACCATTTGGATGCTTCAAGACTTCTCCTTTACCACCTGGTCTTTCAAACAGTTCAAACATACTTCAATCCATGTCACTATAATCGTTTTTATCACCTTAAGCAAGAAAAATTGTCAACTTTCTTGTAAAACCTTATCTCACATTTCAACAATTGAATACCTTATCTCAAACTTCAATAAATGAACCTTCCAATTGTGCAGATGCTCTCTACAGACCAAGCAACATCACTGCTCTTTATCCTAACTCTCATAAAATACAACAAAACAAACAGGTGCTTAGCTTCTTTCTCAAGGTACTTCATCAGGGCTTATCAAAACTTTGAGAAACAGGTACTTTATGTGGCGCCTTATCACATGAGCCACTGATCTACGACAAAACCTTGATAACAAAGAAAGGTTCTTTATCATATAATATCAACTATTCCACCGTCTGATATCTTTTTCTCAAGGTAATTTATCCCTAATCTCAAAAATCATCCTATGCAACCCCAAGAGTGTCCACCATGTTTTCTATGAATCCTCAGAGACGCCAGTTTTAGGCCACATGTTAATAGAACAGAATGATTCTCCGAGCCACATGTTCACTGAAGCACAATTCATTTATAGCCTAGAGGAAAAATGTCAAGGTCAAACAGTTTAAAACAGTACTGGATTATTAGACTGTACAATATAATAGAAAACCTCTATTGCATAATTGTAAGACGTTCTCAGAGACAACATGTCCTAATCTAAAATCAAGGACAAAGAAGACACACCATCCTTTCAAAAGTACCTTTTCATTATAATGTCATCCACCAGTCAATGCAGACCTCCTTTCACACAGGGAAGGCTCCTTAAATTGTCTTTCAAAGGTTGATTTCAAAAATTATGTATACTTTTAGTTTATAAGCATATCATGATGACACCTATAAAATAGTAATGCACATATGATAGAGATACAGAGGGTCATATGCTATCATCCAAAATATATAGTCACTAATTTGTGCAGACCTCTTCAAAGAACGAAAGAGTATATGGAAGAAAAAGAAAATGGTTTGAATTAGAAAATTCCAACCCACCAGAATATTGAAAGTTAAGTTGGTGTCAGTGAGTTCAGTCCACAAAACAAAAACAATGAAAACTCACATGTCCAAGAATACGGTATACAAACTTGCCGTTGGTGCATATTGGATGTTATGTGAGGAATCCTTACTTTATTATTTCTCGTGATTCATCAGATATTTGTTAATACCTAGAGATGATGAATTACCCCGAATGCCTCAATAATGGACCTTAAGGTGCATGCTTCACTAGTTTGCTTGGATCCTTTGATTAGGTTATTCTAAAAAAATGTTGTCGTATAATGGGACACAGTCATCACGATATTAACTAATAAGAAAGTGGGGAAACCATTATTTGCATTATGGATGAGCAAATCCAGCCTACATGATAATAAAGAACAAAACTTTATATGAATAGATTTAAGAATATAGATAAATAAACTGAAAGCACAAACCTGCTCAATATTATTTTCTGCACTGGGCACACTGTGACCATTTCCTGCAGTACAAGTTTCATGACAGTCACCTTCATTAGTGGTTCCATTGTCATCTACTACAATTATAGCACCATGACCAATTCCTTCAACAATATTTCCTTCGACAGAAACGCCATGACCATTTTCTTCGACAGAAGTGTGATGACCACTTCCTTCGACAGAAGTGCCATGACCATTACGTTCGACGGAAGTGCCACGACCACATCCTTCGATAGAAGTGCTGCGACCACTCCCTTTGACAGAAGTTCCATGACCAGTTCCTTCAACGGAAGTTCCATGAGCAATTCCTTCCATGGAAGTTCCATGACCATTTCCTTCAACAGAAGTTCCACGACCATTTTCTCCATTATATGCAGCTTGACCATTTCCTCCAATACATACAGCATGCCCATTTCCTCCAATATGTGCGGTATGTCCATTTCCTCCAGTATATGCAGCATGTCCATTTCCTCTAATGTATGCAGCAAGTCCATTTTGTTCACTACGAGCAGCATGTACCTTTTGTTCACTACAATCAGCATAATCATTTTGTTCACTACATGCAGCATGACCATTTCCTACCACAAATGCATCACGACTAACTACAGCTACAGTCCGGGTCTCTTGTCCAGGAACCAAAGTTAACTTATCATCATCGTCCCACTCCTCCTCAACAAAAGGCGCATACCGATGCCCATTTGGTGGTCCTATATTGCTTTTGTGAAATACTCGACATAGCACAAACGCATCCTCCAGCAGCCAAAGCAAATGGGAAACAACAAAAATAATAAATCAGTCTCCAGATGATTGCAAAACCCAACACTTAAAAATGTTAGTCCGATGCTTTCGTAAATGTAGATAATGATCTCAGTATTTCACATTATTGTAACACACTAAACCAAGTTAGGTAGTTCACCAAAATCAACTATTCGGCTCATATGCGAAAACTTTCCGCAATGATCAAACAAAAAATAGCATAAGTGCAAAACCAGCATTTCTCTCATTTCCTAGTGATTAGCTCATCAAACATAAGTGCAAAACCTCACCTGAATGGCGCCGAGCCCAGCCTTCTCAAAAACTTCATCAACAAGTCTGTACTCATGCATAACCCAATTGGTCCTTTTCCCATCTGGAGCTCGGCCGCTATGGAACACCAAGGTTTTCTTCATCCCCACGACAAAATCGTTGTGCTTGACGGCCCGGTCATTTCCGGTGGCCTTCCAGTACCCTTGGTTGGTAGCCCTATTCATCCTTGCCCCATTTCCGTACTTCCTATCCAATGCACTGAAAAAGTAGTACTCCTGGTCCCTGCTCTTCAAGCTCGACTTGTCTAAAAAGACCCATTTAAAATTAGACAAAATCACAACCCCTAATCTTAAAAAGCCCAAAATTATCCAGCGTTATCTCAGCCGAAAAATCAGGCACATACATCATACGGCGAGTTACCTTATAAAATACATTAAGGAAAGAAAAAAAAAAAACCACAAAAATACAAAATTTTCACAAAAATTAAGAAACCCAACCACAAAAAATGAAGGAAAATTGAGAAATCGGAGGTGTGGGTATTTACCAGCGAGGTCCCAGGGCTCACTCTTGTAGATGTCGACCTCGGAGATCGCGTTAAATTTGAAGGGTTTGCGACAGACCTTGCGCTTGAGGTAGTAAATGACGAGTTCCTCGTCTGTTGGGTGGAACCTGAAGCCGGGAGCGAGGGCAGTCGGGGCCGGTGGCAGTGTCGGCGGCACTAAGGGGGCGGCTACGGCGACGTCGGCGGCGGCTGATGCTATTATCTGAAGGTCCGCTTCTCGACCCATGAGTCCGAAAAGCTGAGAGAAGGGGAGAGATTGTGTGATTGATAGGAAGGAGTCTTCTGGAGATTTGGTGGAGGGAAAAAGCAAAGGTAGGGGCTTGATTGGTGGTGAAGAAATGATGGGAATGCCTTAGATTACAAGAAACTGTTTTCTTTTTTCGATTTAATTTTTATTGTGATCTGCTGCTGCTGTTGCTGTTGCTGTTGCCTGTTGGTGCTGTTCCTTTTATTTGTGTCATGCTTTTGCCTTCGGGGTTTGGGTGGAGTGAGAAATGGGAGAAAATGAAGCCTACTTATACCGCAAGCACCGCAGGTTGGAAATATCAGCATAATAATAAAAGTCATATAAATATTATTCCACTCTTTTTAATTATTTTTCATTTTCATTTATTTTGTTTTGTTTTGGAGCGTGAAAGGGAAAAGTTTTAAGAATTTGGGATATTTTTCCAAGTTTGAGCCTACTTTTTTTTTAAAATATTAAATTAAATCGGATTCATACGAAGCTCTTAGGGTTAGCCAAAGTGGTCAGAGTGAGAGTGAGGGAAATGGGTTATGACTAGAATTTCGAAAACAAACACATTCTTATAAGTGAGAACTAGTGAGATTCGAAAGAATATTATTATTTGTTTTAATTTATTTAGAAATTAATATAATAGTGAAAATCGGTATTGTGCAATTTACGTTATTTTACGCTAATAATAATAGACGTTTAAACCATTAAAATCAGATAATGATTTTTTATTATCGAAAATCAAATAATAGTGGGAGGAATGCATGGTTGTGGAAAGGACGTTTGCAGTCCCCTCCCTCCAATCTAACCCAACTTCGCCTCGCTCGCCGACGTCTGCCGGCTCAATAAGAGAATGAGGGAGCTAATCTGCTTGCTTGTGCAGGCGATGACTGCTTTGGCCAAGGCGCGCCAAAAGAGCCTCGTTTATGCTTAGTTTTAATTTATATATACTGACCTCAATCATATGAAATATACAACATATATTTTTGAACAATATTTGTCTACTCAAAGATGAGTAGAAATTCCTACTCAAAATTTTTCAAAATTGTTCGTTGTCAATTTTATAGAAATTCGTATTTATAATCAAAATCGTTCATATTATAAATTACCCTATAAATATCACCTAAGCAAAAAATCATTTAAAACTAAGGTCGTTTAGTCATCAAACTATTTAAAAACAAATGAATGGTATTGGAAAAAGCATTACGAATCGTCTATGTATTTGCTACAATAGGTTAACTAAACGACCTTAATTTTACTTTATTTTTTTTTGTAGAGATGATCTTTACAATGTGATTTATAGTATGAACTGTTTTGATCATAAACACAAAACTATGTAATTAAAACACTAAGAATTTTAAGTAAGAATTCATATTCATCCTTCAGTTGCCAAATACTATTCTATATTTTTCTTCTTATGTCTTAGAAGAAAACTACAACACAAACTCTTAAAAGTCAGCATAACTAGACAAGTCAATAATGTCATGTGAATTAAGTGTCACAACAAATTTAGTAACAATTCATAAATATCTATATGGATGCCAAATAAATATTTCTATATATGAAAATTTAATGCTATAATTGATTTTAAATTTTAATTGTAAAAGCTAAAAAATTGTGTGCTTTATTTTTATTTTTTAAAACAAACGATAATATCTACATTAAGCCATATAATGAGTCTGCTATAATAATGTGGTTCAACTTTACCTTTGGCGAGAATTAAACCTAAGATGTCTCACTTACAAATGAAGATGAATACTATTAGACCGTATTACTAAGTAGCAGTCACTGTATTTTAAATTGACAAATTCTACCTTAATTTTTTCTAACTTTGTTTTTCAAATGAATAACTCAAATTTTTTTGACATTTTTCTTTGCAATGTAATTAGGGTAGAAAAAGCTGAGACTTAAAAGCGACGCAACTAGATAGTCACCGTTTTTAAGGAAAAAAAAAAAAAAAAAAGCCATCCACGATACTCGTCCATTTGGCACCAGATACCTTCATAGAAATCTGTGTCAGTTACACAAGACCTTGTGCACATATTCAAAGTTGAAAAAAAAAAAAAAAAGAAACCATTTCAGATTTTCAAAGAATTAGTTCTTAATCATCCTCGTAAATTAAAAGAATTAATTCTTACTCAAATTATGGTAAGGAATCTAACACTTTAATCCTTATATGGAAACTAATCCAAAATATAAAATGGTCAAAAGTTGCTGGATATGCTCTGAAAGATGCATGTATGCTAATTAATTGTCAAATTAATTTACATGTTTTACCAAAAAAAAAAATAAATAAATATCCTCTAAACAATGAATTTATTAAATAGCAGAATCCAAAGCTAGAAGGAACACCTGGATTGTCCAATTTATCATATTACGCATAAAAATGGATAGTGTTATTTACACACTTCATTTTACATTTTACACATTTTTGTTAATTTATTATCATTGATCTTCGTCAATTCATTATATCTGATTGGTAGAAATTGAACAAAATGTGTGAAAAGTAAGAATTAGTGCCTAGATAACATGACCATATTTTTTACGTAAAAGTAAAAAAAAAAGTATTTTTACTAATTAAATTTTCCAAGGGAGCAGAAAATTAAAAAATGGTACAAAAAAAATTAATTTATTGAAAAAGATAGAGTGAAGCAGACGTTATCATGATTTACTTCGCCTACAAGGCAAGTAAAAGCTTGACCAACTTTAGTCAATGCAGCTGCAGAATAATAATAACCCTAATTGGGTGTTGGAATTTCCATGTTTCCAACTACAAATTAAAGCCATCATTTTTTAAATATAATTACAACCCTAATTGGGTCTAGGCAATGAAGTGAATATTTGTTTTCATTTTCTTTTTCTTTTTTATTTTCTTTTTTTTTTTTGAACTTTTTGTTTTTGGGGTTTTTTTGGGCCATGAGACTAATTGGGCCTTGGCCTTGCACAACCACTGTGATGTTTTTGGTTTTTTTACTGTTTATTTAAAAAAAAAAAACAAAGAGTTTTACATTGAATTGTTTTGAAAGTTATTTTGGATTCTCGCGATATCATTATCAAGAGCATCTGTTAGGTTGTAGGAGATGACAACGATATTAGTTTTTGAGCTTTTAACTGGGCCATGGATAAGCCCTTTAGCTTCTTGTCCTAGTTATCACGATTTTCATCATTTTAATTGGTATCTATATGCAAGTGGTGAATTGTTCTGAATATAATCTTTCTCTTCAACATGCTACATCCTAATTTCAAAAGGAATGACTTGAAAACTTTGAGTTTTAATTAAAATGACAAAAAGGTGTTATAAGTAAATAGTACCAGGAGTAACTTTTTATAGTAAAAATGTCATTTTTCGTTAAAGTGAACAGTACCGAAAGTGTTTCGTTAAAACTCTCGATTTCAAATCGTCCTTCCTCCCCTTAGTGTAAATTGTGTAAAATATCGTTTGTATTGGGAAAAAAAGGTCCCTTGGTCCCTTCTAGTTCACAATGAGATCAGTTAGTAACTGGAATATTGCCAAGATTCATAGTTTAGTTTCTCCAATGCTTATTGGTGTTATTGAAAATGTCTCTTTGCCCATAAATTCCAGAAAATACTTCTTTATTTAGGGTCTGAATCTGACTGGTAAGTTTACAATTAAGTCTGCAACTCCAACCATCTATAAGAATTCAAATTCTTTTGAGAGTTCCCCTTGTAGGAATTGATCTTAGAGAAGTAGATAAAGCTTGGAAGCTCTGTTTTCCAACTAAGGTTAAAATCTTTGTGTGGCTTCTTCAGCGGAAGTAGACATCATTTTATGCGCTGGTTGATAGGTTACCGCTTTGTCGAAGGGGGGTTCTAAATTAGGATCTATGATCCTTCTTAAAGTTATTAACAATGCTATTTCCATTCCTTAGCATTGTCACACCTTGGTGGACTATATCAAGAAGATTGCTTGCCTATGATATTTTCTTTCGTCATATTTATCGGGAAGCCAACTGCGTAGTGGACGAGTTGGTGGATGTGAGATACTCTTCTTTTAGTAAGCTTATTTGAATGCACACCCTTCCTAATGAGGTGGGATCATCATGACTGTGATACGATTTTAGTGTAGGTTGCCTAAGAGGCTTCTCCTTGTAATTTATACTTTTGTGTAAAAAAAGTACAAAAGAAAATTGAAAATCCAGCTGAAATAATAAATTCAAGGTGCATTTAGATATGAGTCTAAAAAATCAACATGGTTATTAGGTTAAGTGTAGTATTATCTTTTCTCCAGTTTTATTTATTAAAATATTTGAATTTCATGCATCTTCTAGGCTTCTAGCCCATTAAATTTAAATTTATTTAATATCTTATAATAAAAACCTAATATACTACCACCAATCTATTTGCAGAATATACGATCCTAACTCAAGTAACAAATATATGAATGTATATTATACCTATAAGCGTCGTATGAAACCCAACTAAAAAGGACAAAAAATAATATACCTATAATTAAGATACATTAATTTGTGATACATATCGATTATAAAAAAGAATTTGTATGTAGGTAGTTAAATACAATTGACCTATAATATAGGTTAATTATAATAACTAAAAATAAAATCTATAAATGGAGTTTAGGGTAGGAAGAAGAACAAATAAATTTTTTTTTTAAAGACATAACTAGAAATAAATTCAATTTTTATAATAAATCTTATCTTAAAAAGAAATACTTATTGATAATAAAATAGTACTAACGTAGACTTCTTTTAATAAAATGGACTATTTCTAATATTGACTAAAAAAATGAACTTATATCAACTTTTTCCTAAATTCAATTTGTGAATCCATCTGGACGCAATATTGAGTAAAAATAAGTCAAATATTAACGACGTACCCATAAACTTATTGGCGTATCGATCACATGCTGGAAATTAATCATTTTAATAATTATGATGGTGTATATTGTTTTAGAGCATGCCCAAGAAAAAAATTGTTCTGCAGTTTGTAATTTTGTTTTTTACATAAAATATTACTAGCCCCTTGCACACACTATAGGCTAGTTTGGAGTTGCTATTTTCTCTTTTTTTTTTTTTTTTACAGCAGCTTCTTAGAAAAGTTGAAGCTAAAATTTTGTTTGATCAAAGAAGAACAAGTGTTTTTTTTTTTTTTTTTGGGGAAGATTATGAGTCTAAAACAGCAGAAACAGAAGTAGATATAATCATGCTTCTTAAAAAAAGGTCATTTTCATAGGAGGCGGGTGAACAGTAACATTTAATGAAACTTTCATATTGATAAATACTATCCCGTCTTTTTTTTTTTTTTTTTTTTTGCTAAAAGCAATTTTAGCACTATAGTTTACCAAATACTTATCTGTTTTTTTTTCACTTATGTTTATTCTCACAAAGCAATGAACAAGTTTTGAAAAAAAGTACAATTCCAAACTAACTCTACGTAATGTGCGATTGACATTTTGCAGTTTTGTTATTTATAATTTTTTTTTTTTTTAAAGCTGCAAGAAACTAATAAAAATAATCACCCCAAATTCAATGTTCACCACGAAAGTTCAGTTACTATTTTGTTATTTTCAAATTAAATATTTTTTCTTTGAAAATCTTAATTAGAAAAAAATTATTTTAAATATTTTAAAATCTGTGTCTGCTGATTTTATATATATATATATATATATATATATATGAGATAAGTGCACAAATTAGTGCCAATTTTTAAACTCTTATTTTTCTTAGTTTTTGGGTATAAAAATTGGAGGTGGTTTTCATTTTCCAATGCGTAGTCTTTGCCCCAAACGCAAGTCACATCTTTCACCATAAAGTAAACTTAATTTAAAGGAATTATTGTTGACTTTGTCGTCGGGGCGCTTCTTCTTTAGCTACTTCTAGGGCTGGGCACGGGCCGGGCCGGGCCCAAATTTGGAAGAACCGGACCTACCCGTTTTAAAATGTAACGGGCCGGGCCGGGCCGGGTGTAGGGATTTTAAGTTTGGGAACCGGACCTAACCCGGCCCGTATCAAACGGGCCGGTTCGGGACGGGTCCACGGGTCCAATAACTTTTATTTATTTATTTTTTTTAAATCTGGTTATGGGCATACTAAGATTGAAGCAGAATGAGGTGTGGTTCCAGTGCTGACGAAAAGGAAGAAGCTTGTAGAACCAAATAGCAGAATGAGGTTATGTGCTAAAGTAGAATTGCTTATACGGTTCATAAAAACTGAAATAGAACGAGCAAATATTCGACAGACCCTGATGAGTACTGCATTGTTGCGCCGGATACTGATGAGTACTGCATTCATTGGCAATTGCCTTGGCGAGAAGGGTTTTCCCACAGCCAGGTGGTCCATAAAAGAGAACGCCTTTAGAAGGTGACATCCCAAATTTCTCAAACATCTCAACCATATAAACTTTTTGTGTTCAGTAAAAGTCCACCTGTATAACAAACTGTTGTCCGGAGACGCTCTTTCCATACTCATTGAGTAATGCCTCTGTTGCAAAAAGTACTCCTCTTCCCGTTGCTGCATCTCTTCCTAGTGATCCACCAATATCCTGATTAACAAAAAAAAAAAAATTACAGAATGTTACGCAATAAAAACAAACAAAATTTGTAGCACAGGTATGAACTATTGCAAGACAAGACTGCCATGAATCGAATAAAGGAGGACAATTTAACTGAAGTAACTTTTTTTATTATGATTTACTTACAATAGGCTTTCCAGTCACTACTGCAGGTGAGTAGCCATGAAACTTTTGAGTACTCATCTAGTATCCATGCCATGGTCTGTTTAAACCAAAAAAAAAAAAAAGGAAAAAGATTGAGAGAAAAAAATGCTAAAATTCAGTCCAATGGCATCCCACGAAACATTAGGTACGTCCACAACCTGTAAACCAAGAAAACAAGTTATCATTCTCAAGTCCAAAGATATTCTAACTCTCTGAATAGCAACTTCTAAAAAACAAGTAAAGCTTGCTACCCCAAAACTTCAAAAAAAAAAAAAAAAAGTTAAAACTTACAGTTTCGCGCAAGGCAGAAGGATTTGTAGAGGACAGTGCGGTCTGGAAGTGTTCATTCGTCACAGCCATCGAATTCAACACCTCAGCATCAATCGTATCGTCTTCCAAGTCAATAACGTCCATTTTTTCACGGATGCACTGGAGCGCAGCCTCTGTGGAGAGAGCGGCAAGATCTGCACCAACAAAACCATGGGTATCTTTTGCAACTCGTTCGAGATCAACCTGTAATAGTAGCAAAACACCAAGTAATTAACATAATTTATCGCAATGCAGGATAAACGATATGAAAATTTGAGGATAGAAGATCTTACATCATCTGAGAGAATGAGTAGCAGGGTGCGTGTGCTTGTCTGTGTGTGTGGCTTGCTTGTGGCTGGCCGGAGTCGTGTCGGAGAAGGTGGACGGAGGAGCGGCGCCGCGAATTTGAGAAAGGGTTGGAGTGTTGGAGAGATTGAGATTTGAGACTGAACACTGAAGTCTGAAACTGATTTGGAAACCTAGGTTACAAATTAACGGTTCAGATTGAATGATAGGTTATCATTCAATCTCAACCGTTGATTATAATATGAAACGGGCCGGTCCGGGGCCCCGTTTTTCTAAGGTGTAGGAACCGGCCCGCCCCGTAAATAACCATGCCCCGGCCCTCCCCGCCCCGTTTGTTCCCAAAAAAAAAGGGACCCGGCCCGTACCCGCCCCGAACCTACACTACCCGCCCCTACCCGCGGTTCCTTTACCCGTTTGCCCACCCCTAGCTACTTCCGCTCCCACAACCCTAATCTTTTTATTTTTTTATCTAGAAATAATCATTGTTGGTAAATAGTTCAGCTATCCAGTCAGTCAACGACCTGACTTGACGAGATAAAGCTCACTATCTTTTTTTTTTTGAACTGTGCTCACCATCTTCGGACTTTGGTGAAAGACAACCTCGTGGACCCCACCCTCAACTTCATCTCGTCCACATGCCGGTAATCCTTGCCAGACTAGAGCTTCGACGAGTGTGTATACTTGCAGTCTTTTCTTTGTTCCCAAATACAGTTTGGTATACTAAATGTATAATATAAGTGTGTGTATGTTAAAATTATTGTTTTTTTTTTTTTAACAAACGATATTATCCATCTTAAGGGGGTAGGAGAGTGACTTAAACCTCACAATGGGTTAGCAATAATGCAGTTTTATTCGTTTTTAGCAAGAATCGAATCTAAAACTTCTCACTTGCTAATAAAGAAGAATATCATAAAGTACCATGTGATGTGGAAGTTACAGTTTTGAACTAAAGTAAATAATAAAAAATATAATACATACCTTAAGTGGTGATTTGTTGTAGTGTTACAAGTTGTTAGGTCTTGGGTTTCAAATGTAATTGAAGACATTTTGAAAACATTTTTAGGTGGCTGGAAGAGCTGGTTGTCTGGTTGCCGGAATATTGGTCAGTTGCTTGGTCATCAATTGCCGGAAATTTTTCCAACCAATCACCGAAAAGTCTCGTCGGAATAGTTGTTGGTCGCCCGAAAATTTGGTAAGGTTGAGTGGAAAACATGTACAATTTAAATATGGGGAACTTTAACGAAAAGCTCATGGTATTGTTCACTTTAATGAAAAACCATAATTTTACACTGAAAAGTCAATCTTGGTACCATTCATTTTACCCTTTATTTTGTCTTTATCATTAAAACTCAAAGTTTTCAAGTCATTTTCATTAGTTTTCCTTCAAATATAGGGTTATTCTCAGTTTACTACCCTAAAGTTTAATGGTTTTCAACATATGTAAGATCCCACATCGACCAACGGAGAGGGGGTGATGTGCCTTATATGTACATGCCTACCTCCATATAGCACGAGGCCTTTTGGGAATTCACTGGCTTCGGGTTCCATCGGAACTCCGAAGTTAAGCGAGTTCAAGCGAGATCGGTCCCAAGATAGGTGACCTACTAGGAAGTTCTTGTGAGTTCCCAGAAATAAAACCATGAGGGAATGGTAAGCCCAAAGCAGACAATATCGTGACAGTGGAGCTGATTTAGGATGTGACAGAATGGTATCAGAGCCACTCTGCCGTTGTGTGCGGATGTGCCGGCGAGGACGCCGGGTTTCCCTAAATGGGGTGGATTGTAAGATCCCACATCAACCAATGGAGAGGGGTTGATGTGCCTTATATGTACATGTTCCCCTCCTTATAACACAAGGCTTTTTGGCGACTCATTGGCTTCGGGTTCCATCGGAACTCCGAAGTTAAGTGAGTTCGGGCAAGAGCATTCCCAGAATGGGTGACCCTAGGGGTGGTTCGGTATGGGATACCATACCGAAACTAGTATCCCGAATCCCAAACCGAAATTTTTCGGGACGGGAATTTGAAGACCAATCCCAAACCAAATTTTCGGGAATCCCAAATTTCGGGAATCCCGAAATATTTTCGGGATTTTGGGACAAATCGGGAATCCCAAATTAAAATATGAAATTATGAATTCTTCTTCAAATATATAATTCAAGAACACATTTATGAACTAGGAATTTCATTTCATTCACACTACCATTTAATTGAACATTGGCATGCTTGACTCTTTTTATCATAGTCAAAATTCAAATTAATTAAACTCTTTTTGCAATCTGTTAAGAGACAAAATAATCAAGCCTTCTGAAATCATCAGCCATGGCAGCAGCAATAATAAAATTCACATGAATATCAAATAGAACATGAAAAATATGCAAGATGTAGGGCATTCTAGGTTGCTGAGCATGAATTAGAAACTACTAGCATCAATTATAAAAGAATAATATATATATATGTATAAATATATATAATAATTAATATTATATATTTTCGGTTTGGTATGGGATTCCCGAAATATCGAGAAGCCAATCCCGAATCCCATACCGAAATTTTGGGATTGGTTCGGGATAGCATCCCGAAAATTTCGGGAATTTCGGTTTGGGAAATTTTTGGTTTGGGATCGGGATTTTTTCGGTTCGGTTCGGGATTTTCGGGAATTTTTTCCACCCCTAGGTGACCCACTGGGAAGTTCTCGTGTGAGTTCCCAGAAACAAAACCGTGAGGGCGTGGCCTAAAACGAATAATATTGTGCTACGACAGAGCCGGTCTGGGATGTGACAACATATCTTAGAGTGGTACATAAAGTCATAATCTTGGGACACTTTCATACATTCGTTAAGGTTGCTGTTAAATCAACCGTTAACTAATGATATGGCGCCCAAGTGGACAATGACTGAGCGCCACGTGGATATTAATAAACTAAAAATAAAAAAATAAAAAGAATATTAAGAAAAACCCCTAAAAATACACTCTAATCTACAGCCACCCTTTCAATCCCCATCCAAAAATCCTACAATCCACTCTCACCATTAGCCACCCTCCAATCCAACCCCATCACTACCCCTGCTTACTTGAACCAAACTTCCTATCGTCATCGGGTCCTGAGAATCACTCAAACTCTCTCATCTACAACCTCTCAGTCCTCAAAGAATGAACCATAACATCAATGGGTTTTGCTCAGCGCTGAACCCTCCCTTCCTTCAACTTCGACTTCTTCGGTATGCGAATTCGAAGTTGATTTCCTCCCTTCTCTCTTCTAAATAGGACTTCGACTTCGATTTCCTCAGCGGCAACATAACCTACTCCTGCTGCTCTACGAATTCGAAGTCTTTTGTGTTTTTATTCTATGTTTGACGAAATTGAAGTCGAATTCAAACGGGTCGGAAAGATTTTGGGGATTAAGGATTTCATGTTGGGTTTGCTTAATTTTTTTTTTTTTTTTTAAACTCAAAAGATTTTGCGAGTTAGGGTTTTTGCAAAGGGTGGAGGAGAGAGAATGGAGGGGTGGTGAAGAGGGTGGAGGAAAGGGAGATGGGACGGGTATAGAGGGTTTGCCAGGCACAGAGGAGAGAAGGGAAGAGGGGGTTGGATGGGAGCGACGGTGGCGATGGGATTGGATTAAAGGGTGGTTGGCAATGAGGGTTGTTTGCTTTTTCACTTTTAACTGTTCCCATTCTAAATTTTGAATTTTGAAATTTTGGTATTTTGTTTTTGAATTTTTAGTTTTCCTTAATGATATATGGTGCCCAGTCATTGTTCATATGGGCACCACATCATCAGTTAACGGGAGACTTAACAGCCATACTAACGGATGTATGAGACTGTCCCAAAATTAACACTTTAGGTATGACGCTAGGACTAAAAAAACTTCATGTACTAAATGTTGAAAACCACAAAATTTGAGGGTAGTAAATTGAGATTTATCCTTAAATATAATAGCATTTCTAAAAGAAATTTGGTTGACTTTTTCGTTGGTAATTAAACTAAAAATATGGTATTTTGTCTAAATTTTTTTTTCTTAGAGAAGGTATTTAATATAAAAAGCCCATTTTCCATTTTTTGTTGTTGTTATTAACACAAAAAAATTACCTTGCACTCCAAACATATAAAAATATAAAAGAAAATATAGTTGAAGTGAGTACACAACGACATTTTTAGAGTACTATTAACAACACCCTTCATCTCTTTTCATGGTCATTCATCCTTACCACATAGATTAGATATTAAGTGTTGGATTTAAAATATTAAAACCGCATTGATTAATTCTTCTTCCTTAATATTGGTGTAGCGTAATTTGGGTCACTACTTATCCCATGAGGTATGTAAGATGAGAGGAAACTCTTGTCTAATAAAAGGAATTCCCACCCTCACTTTTGAGAGAGTCTCTTCATCCAAACCCTAGCCACTTTACCCTTTCAAGGCAACAAACATCTTGTCTTTTACAATGTAACCTACATTTACATAGTAGAGATGGAAACTACACCAATGTGGACATAGCCCCATCTTAGGATGAGCCACGAAACAATACATCATTGTATTTTTGTGTGTTTGTGTGATTTGCAGTCGAATTTAAGTTGGTCCAAGATTAATTTAATTTTGTGCATCAACCATATCAAATCCAAAGGTAAATGAGCATATATTCTTTACTCACCAAATGACCTAGTATACATTTTCTGTAATGTAAAAAAATCACTTTAACCAAAAATAAAAAAACTGCAAATCATCTATGAAATAAAGCAATTTGGCACTTGATAGACTATTAAAACTGATGCTTTGACAACAACAAAAACAAAGCATTTTCCCACCAAGTGTGGTCGGCTATATGAATCCTAGAACATTATTGCGCTCGGTTCTGTGTCACGTCTTCTGATAGATCCAAGTACTCTAAATCTTTTCTTAGAGTCTCTTTCAAAGTCCTTCTAAGTCTTCATCTACCCTTTTCAACCCTGAACCTATGTCCCGTAATCGCATCTTATAACTGGAGTGTCAGTAGGCTTTCGTTTCACATGCCTAAACCACTGTAACCGATTTTCACTCATCCTTCCTTCAATTTCGGTTACTTCTACTTTACCTCGGGTAACCTCATTCCTAATCTTATCATTTCTCGTGTGCCCACACATCCAACGAAGCATAATGTAAAACCTCGTACCGCATGGATTGAACTTTATGCCAACACAAATTTGATCCATGAAGTTTATGATCCATATGGATTAAAGATTATGAATTGATTACTCAAATGACCTTAACCAGTATTTTAGACACTAAGAGTGATCATTTATCTTCATGAAGGCAAAGATAAATTGATATTTGGTCCAGAAGTACCACATCTTAGTGAAGTATATGCCTTATTGTATTCATCACAATACATTGAATGAAATAGAGCTTATTTATTGATATCTCTGATAAATTACAGACATGTACATACATATAAGTTAAACAAACAAATAGGAGCGAGTCTTCACAAAGGTTGCTCATATAAAACCTCAGTACTAATTAGAACCCTAGAAGGGGGAAGCATTAAAGATGGAACATGTGACGCCTCAGTACTTGGCATAACTTCAGGAAGAAGATGCAGAAGAGGTTGATTATTTGGTGCACCAGTACTTGGTAAAACTCTAGAAGACGAAGGCAATTGGTGTCTTTGGAATAAAGCCACAAACTTTTGATGGTTACTTTGAATCCAATTTTCGGATTCCTGCAGCTGGTCAAGCTTTCTTTTCATGCTCGTTGAATAATTATTTGCAAACATGTGCAACTCTCTATTTTCGAACTTGAACACTCTGATCTCTTGTCTAAGACTTGCCACATCAGCCATCAATGATTCGACTTGATGAGTTCGAGTAAGTAGACGTTGGCCCATATTGGATACCAAGCATGCACACTAAACACTGAAAGCCAGAGACTCTTAAACAACCAATTCGTCGGACCGTTTTGAGAGTATCTTGTTATCCTTGGGGGTGAGAAAATTCCTAACTACCACTATAGAGGTTATGTTATTCCTCATCATAGAGTCCCCAACTATAAGAGGACCATTAACGAATAAGAAGGATAGGTGCCATATGTTGTCTTGAGAGACATGTTTGCATCCTCCACAACATTTAAATAAAAAATGACGATCATATGGGTAAGCCATTTTTTGAAATGATGAAGGAAAATGAAGTAAGATAGATTGAAATCTCAGAAGTGCCAAAAGGGACATTTCTACTGGCAGCAATTATCTGAGTGTGCTTTTGAACATAATTGATGTCTCTATAAAAAGAAGAGGCAGCATGACCACTTGTTTAAAGATCAAAGAGACACCGATATCCGAATTATAAAAATCGGATTTTCTGGAATAAAATTTGTTGTTACTTTTTAGACGAAATCTCAGCTTTTTGGATATCATGGGAAACTTTGTCACATATTTCTAACAAAGTTGAAATGCGTAGATTTTACTTTTCCAATTACACCGTTGCTAACAAGCGTAAAGGAACAATAAATAAGAGGCAACGTGGCCACTTGTTTGAAGGTCGAAGTGACGCTGCTCTTCGAATTTCAAAAGCCAGATTTTATGGAATATAGCTCGTTGTCACTTTTTAGGCGAAATCTTATCTTTTGGATATCATGGGCAACTTTGTGAAAGATTTATAACAAAGTTGAAACACGTGAATTTTACTATTCTAATTACACCATTGCTAATAAGCGTAAAGGAACAACAAAGAAGAGGCAGCGTGGCCACTTGTTTGAAGAACGAAGCGACACCGTTCTTTCCAATTTCAAAAGCCGAATTTATGGAATATAGTTCATTGACACTTTTTAGACACAATCTCAGCTTTTTGGATATCACGGGCAACTTTGTCAAAGGTTTTTGTGTGACATCCCGTCCCGGAAGTATCGAACCGTACATGTAAATTTACCGTTTTACCCCTAGATTGTCTTACTACGTTTTGGTGTTTTGTGTGGTGTGGACATGTGTTGGACCACACACACACACATCCACATTTGCTTTCCTCTCTCTCTCTCTCTCCCTCTGACTTTCCTCTCTCTCTCCCCCGAGCCCTTATCCTTCTTCTTCCTCTTCCTTAAACTTGTACGGACACACACACATCCACCATATTACACACAGATCGAGGAAACCAGGGGTGTAGTTGTGATCGTGGGGTCGAGGGGAGCACGGTGGTACCATTTTCAGGTAGGGAAACCACCATTTTCACGTTGATTCGAGGTTTTCCATTTTGAACATTGTTCATGCAAACTTAATCTAGCTTGTTTTTGGACTTTTGAAGCTTGTAGTTGTGTTTGTGAGGTTCCCAGGAGCTTGGGAGTGCTTCGTTGGACAAGTTTGGACGTCGGGAAAGCTTGGTTCGAAGTTGGCCGAGTTTTGGAAACTTGGACAGGTATTTTCTCGTAGTTTTAGGCCTTAAAACTTGTAGGATCGTGTTCTACTAGTCCTAAGGGTCAAAATGGTGCAAAAATCATGAAAAACAGTTGAAAAACGAGTGAGTTATGGCGAGTTGCAGGTTTCCGGCGACGGCGACAGCGCCGGCGAGGGGGGTTGGCCGGAGAAGACAGGGGAATATTCCGTTAGGGTTTAACGGAATATTCCTAACGGACAGTAACGGCGTCAGTCAAGGTTAACGGAATATTCCGTCAGATTCCAGGGAATATTCCTGACGGCGTCACTTGACGCCGTCAGCGTGCAGGTCACGTGGCCGCGCGTGGGGGCGCGTGGACCCGTGTCTGTGCTGGCGCGTGGGGGCGCGTGACGTGTCCAAAAATTATTTTAAAAATATGGTTGTGATCGTGAGGTTGTGTAGATCACGTTGGTATATTCATTTGTCCATTTTGAGCAATGTATGAGAAGTTATTTTGAACGGACGGTTATGTGCTTTAAAGTTAACGTTTTTATAGTTAATTCGCATATAGGTGACATGTATCCCGAGGACGAGCGTGCACATTTGAGACAGGGGGGCTACGACCCTTCTACATACCAGTGAGTGGGCTTTTGTTTTCCGTATATACCTATATACATGTTATTTCCCAGAAATTAGTATAAATGCCTTGTTTTACGCCATTAATTTTATATGATTGATGATTATGCATGATTAGTAGCATATAAGTTGGTTTATATATTTATTCTTACGTCATTTACATATATGTTGGTGCTGTGGCGGCCTAGGTAAGTGCCAGGTAAGCGTTGTTTACATTCGCATTAAATAGTGATTCGAAGTGCTTAGAGAGCTCGTAACCTGCACCCCCGGTGTTAGTGCTCCCGCCCAGAGTAGGGCACAGTCCTTCACGTGTTGTTCACCTCCCGCACCACACGCTCAGCTTGAATCCAAGTTAGGTGCACAGTCCTGTCGTACAGACCACTATAGGTGGTTCCGACTCGTAGGTGACCCGCGATTATTCGCACAGCCTTCACATGATCGTAGCACTAGAGCGTTTATATGTATTGCACCCAGGCTTGTCGTACAGACCACTATAGGTGGTTCCGACTCGTGGGCAGGTTTAGTGATTGAGTTGTGATTTGAGCTCTAGATTCAGCCGTACAGGTCACTTAGGGGACTCCGGCTGCCAAATTATTATGCTATCGATGTTATATATATATACCTGAGCACTTGCATGTTATTATGAGGCTTTGAGCATGACGGCATACAATTGAGCATGTTGGCATACCCTTGAGCATACTTGGCATATTTATACTTACGTATATATGTTTATTTTTCTGGGAAGTGTACAGGTTTTACGGCGAGGGGTTATAATATGTGTTATGAAATGGTTTTCTAAGAGATTTGTTTTGCCCACTCACGCTTTTTTTTTTGCGCTCCTCCAGGTTCTAGTAGCTTAGCGGGTTGGTGGTTTTCCCGGAGGACGTCCCGGCATTCTGACAGATACTCACCTACGTAGGGTCACCTTCGGGTGTACTTTGATTATATTGTTTCTTTTGGACTGCTGTAAGCCTTAGGCTCTGAATTCAGTGTCTTAATTACGATAGCACATATTCTATCACTCTATAATTGCTAGTTTTTAAATTATTCGCACTTTTATATTACTGTTTTAGCTTCCGCACTGTGCACATGGCTACGTCACTTCCACGTGACGGCCAGCATGCCCTGATCTCGGTCGGGGTGTGTCATTTTGACAAAGTTGAAATGTGTGAATTTTACTGTTCCAATTGCACCGTTGCTAACAAGTGTACAGGAAAAGCAAAGAAGAGGCAACGTGGCCACTTGTTCGAAGATCGAAGTGACACCGCTCTTCGAATTTCAAAAGCCGAATTTTATGGAATATAGTTCGTTGTCACTTTTCAAACAAAATGTCAGCTTTTTTGGATATCACAGGCAACTTTGTCAAAAAATTCTTAACAAAGTTGAAACAAGTGAATTTTACTATTCCAATTACACCGTTGCTAACAACCGTAAAGGAACAACAAAGAAGAGGCAACATGGCCACTTGTTCGAAGATCGAAGCAACACCGCTATTTGAATTTCAAGAGCCGGATTTTATGGAATATATTTCGTTGTCACTTTTCAAATATAATCTCAGCTTTTTAGATATCACGAGCAACTTTGTCAAAGATTTCTGACAAAGTTGAAAAACATGAATTTATTGGTTTTAATTACACCGTTGCTAACAAGCGTAAAAGAACAGCAAAGAAGAGGCAGCGTGGCCACATGTTCTAAGATCGAAGTGACACCAATCTTCATATTTCAAAAGCTGGTTTTTATGGAATATAGTTCGTTGTCACTTTTCAGACATAATCTTAGATTTTTGGATATCGTGGGCAACTTTGTCAAAGATTTCTAACAATGTTGAAATGCGTGAATTTTATTGTTCCAATTGCACCATTGCAAACAAGTGTAAAGGAACAGCAAAGAAGAGGCAACATGGCCACTTGTTTGAAGATTGAAGCGACACCGTTCTTCGAATTTCAAAAGCCGAATTTTATGGAATATGGTTCGTTGTACTTTTCAGACGAAATCTCAGCTTTTTGGATATCACGAGCAACTTTGTCAAAGATTTCTGACAAAGTTGAAACGCGTGAATTTTACTGTTTCAATTGCATAGTTGCTAACAAGTGTAAAGGAACAACAAAGAAGAGGCAACGTGGCCACTTGTTCGAAGATCGAGGCGACACCGCTCTTCGAATTTCAAAAGCCTGATTTTATGGAATATAGTTTGCTGTCACTTTTTAGATACAATCTCATCTTTTTGGATATCACAGGCAATTTTGTCAAACATTTCTAACAAAGTTGAAGTGCGTGAATTTCACTATAATAATTACACTACCGTTGCTGACAAAAGTAAAAGAATAACACCACAACTTGCTATTAGGCAATCCCTATATAAGTCGATTTATGTCCTCCATGACAAGACAGATCTGCAAGAATGCCTAACTCTTTTCTCTTCTCTCAGAGAATGCATCTTTAACAAAACATCTTCAAATGCTTTGCTTTTCTTTTTTTTTCCAAGAATACCTTTTCAACCAAGTCCATCAAAATGCTCAACTTATTTCCTCAGCAAGAAAATAGTTTTGATCCATAAGTTTTACATCAGCATCAAAATCTTCTACCATTTTCTTTAAGAGCAAAAGTATCTCATATCATCAGGGTCAAAATCAAAAGTATCTCATATCATGCATTTTCCTTGTCCTTTTTCTTTGTCCTTGTTCTTACTTGCAAGACAAGGAGAAAGAGAGCAATCAGTCGGAACCTGGAATCAAACTTCTGATCTGGAATTGATTGCCTGTAACCCCTTTTCCCTCATTACTTGCCTTGCATTGCACACGAGTACTCATTTTCAACTGTTGTAGGTCACAAATTTCCTCAGCAAATACAACAGTTGATATGATGTTGGCTCTTTACACTGAAGCTGCCAAATACGGATGAGTCACTGATTGATGTTTTGAAGAATCATTCAAAGGCAAGATAAAATGATACATCATCTTGGGAGAAACCATCGGCCTGAATGATTTGAAATCAGAGGGAGTTACTCATCAGGAGGAGCATCCAAAACATATCAAGATTTTAACGATTCAATCGAAGATTTGTAATTTTAACGATTCAATTGAAGATTTGTAACCATCAAAGGGAGAATGTTGTAATATAATATATAGAAAATCCTCCAAAGAATGTCTCTTGGGATCTTATCATATGCTTTTTCCGAATCTATAAAGACCATGTGCAAATCCTTTTTCATTACTATATCTTTCCATCTATCGTCGTAAAAGATAAATTGCCTCCATGGTTGAACAACTAAGTGTAGAGGAACTACAATAAAGCCTTTTCTTACTAAGTAGGGTCGGCTACATGAATTCTAGAATGACATTGTGCTCGATTTTTTGTTACGTCTTCTGTTAGGTCCAAGTATCTTAAGTTTTTTCTTAGAATCTCTTCCAAGGTCTTCATGTACCTCTTCGTCCCTCAACCCCTATTTCGTAATCGCATCTTCTAACCGGAGTATCAGTAAGCCTCCGTTTCACATGTCCAAACAACTGTAACCGATTTTCACTCATCTTTCCTTCAATTTCGGCTACTCATACTTTATCTCAGATATCCTCATTCCTAATCTTATCTTTTCTCGTGTGCCCACACATTCAACGAAGCATTCTCATCTCCGCTACACCTATTTTATGTACGTGTCGATGCTTCACTGCCCAACATTTCGTGCCATAAAGCATTGCTGGCCTTATTGTCGTCCTATAGAATTTTTCAGTGAGCTTCAATGGCATACAACGGTCACACAACACGCCGGATGCACTCTTCCACTTCATTCATCTAGCCTGTATTCTATGGTTGAAGTCTTTATCCAACTCTCCGTTCTTTTGCAAGATAGATCCTAGGTAGCGAAAGTTGTCACTCTTTGGTACTTCCTGATCTCCAATCCTTACCCCTAACTCATTTGAGCATCCGTTTGCACTGAACTTGCACTCCATATACTTTGTCTTTGACCGACTTAGACGAAAATCTTTAGATGCCAACACTTTTCTCCAAAGGTTAAGCTTCACATTTACTCCTTCCTGAGTTTCATCTATCAACACTATATCGTCTGCGAAAAGCATACACCAAGGAATATTATCTTGAATATGCCTTGTTAACTCATCCATTACCAATGCAAAAAGTAAGGACTTTAAGATGAGCCTTGATGTAACCCTACAGTTATGGGGAAGGTTTCGTTTTGTCATTCCTGAGTTCTTACGACAACCATTGCTCCATCATACATATTTTTTATAGCTTGGATATATGCTACATGTACTCCTTTCTTCTCTAAAATCCTTTAAAGAATGTCTTTTGGGACCTTATTATACGCTTTTTCCAAATCTATAAAGACTATGTGCAAATCCTTTTTCCTATCTCTATATATTTCCTTCAATCTTCGTAAGAGATAGATTGTTTCTATGATTGGTTGTCCGAGATCCGTGTCTCTTGCCTCAGTCTATGCTCAATTACTTTCTCCAAGAGCTTCATTGTGTGACTTATTAACTTAATACCACTATAGTTCATGCAATTTTGTACGTCGCCTTTATTCTTGTAGATAGGCACCAAAGTGCTATTTCGCTACCCATTTGACATCTTCTTCGTTTTCAAAATCCTATTGAAAAGGTTTGTGAGCCATACTTTACTTGTCTCTCCCAAGACTTTCCACACTTCGATCGATATATCATCTACAAAAACCAGTTTTTAAGGGTAAAAAAAATAAACAGTGGGTGTGTATAATGAAGGAAATGGAAATGACATTGAATGTTAATTCAAATATGTTTTTATAAAACTACTTAGTACTACAGTTTAGTAGTATTCATCTTCACCTGTAAGTAGGGCTGGGCACGGGCCGGGCCGGGCCCAAATTTGGAAGAACCGGACCTACCCGTTTTAAAATGTAACGGGCCGGGCCGGGCCGGGTGTAGGGATTTTAAGTTTGGGAACCGGACCTAACCCGGCCCGTATCAAACGGGCCGGTTCGGGACGGGTCCACGGGTCCAATAACTTTTATTTATTTATTTTTTTTAAATCTGGTTATGGGCATACTAAGATTGAAGCAGAATGAGGTGTGGTTCCAGTGCTGACGAAAAGGAAGAAGCTTGTAGAACCAAATAGCAGAATGAGGTTATGTGCTAAAGTAGAATTGCTTATACGGTTCATAAAAACTGAAATAGAACGAGCAAATATTCGACAGACCCTGATGAGTACTGCATTGTTGCGCCGGATACTGATGAGTACTGCATTCATTGGCAATTGCCTTGGCGAGAAGGGTTTTCCCACAGCCAGGTGGTCCATAAAAGAGAACGCCTTTAGAAGGTGACATCCCAAATTTCTCAAACATCTCAACCATATAAACTTTTTGTGTTCAGTAAAAGTCCACCTGTATAACAAACTGTTGTCCGGAGACGCTCTTTCCATACTCATTGAGTAATGCCTCTGTTGCAAAAAGTACTCCTCTTCCCGTTGCTGCATCTCTTCCTAGTGATCCACCAATATCCTGATTAACAAAAAAAAAAAATTACAGAATGTTACGCAATAAAAACAAACAAAATTTGTAGCACAGGTATGAACTATTGCAAGACAAGACTGCCATGAATCGAATAAAGGAGGACAATTTAACTGAAGTAACTTTTTTTATTATGATTTACTTACAATAGGCTTTCCAGTCACTACTGCAGGTGAGTAGCCATGAAACTTTTGAGTACTCATCTAGTATCCATGCCATGGTCTGTTTAAACCAAAAAAAAAAAAAAGGAAAAAGATTGAGAGAAAAAAATGCTAAAATTCAGTCCAATGGCATCCCACGAAACATTAGGTACGTCCACAACCTGTAAACCAAGAAAACAAGTTATCATTCTCAAGTCCAAAGATATTCTAACTCTCTGAATAGCAACTTCTAAAAAACAAGTAAAGCTTGCTACCCCAAAACTTCAAAAAAAAAAAAAAAAAGTTAAAACTTACAGTTTCGCGCAAGGCAGAAGGATTTGTAGAGGACAGTGCGGTCTGGAAGTGTTCATTCGTCACAGCCATCGAATTCAACACCTCAGCATCAATCGTATCGTCTTCCAAGTCAATAACGTCCATTTTTTCACGGATGCACTGGAGCGCAGCCTCTGTGGAGAGAGCGGCAAGATCTGCACCAACAAAACCATGGGTATCTTTTGCAACTCGTTCGAGATCAACCTGTAATAGTAGCAAAACACCAAGTAATTAACATAATTTATCGCAATGCAGGATAAACGATATGAAAATTTGAGGATAGAAGATCTTACATCATCTGAGAGAATGAGTAGCAGGGTGCGTGTGCTTGTCTGTGTGTGTGGCTTGCTTGTGGCTGGCCGGAGTCGTGTCGGAGAAGGTGGACGGAGGAGCGGCGCCGCGAATTTGAGAAAGGGTTGGAGTGTTGGAGAGATTGAGATTTGAGACTGAACACTGAAGTCTGAAACTGATTTGGAAACCTAGGTTACAAATTAACGGTTCAGATTGAATGATAGGTTATCATTCAATCTCAACCGTTGATTATAATATGAAACGGGCCGGTCCGGGGCCCCGTTTTTCTAAGGTGTAGGAACCGGCCCGCCCCGTAAATAACCATGCCCCGGCCCTCCCCGCCCCGTTTGTTCCCAAAAAAAAAGGGACCCGGCCCGTACCCGCCCCGAACCTACACTACCCGCCCCTACCCGCGGTTCCTTTACCCGTTTGCCCACCCCTACCTGTAAGTGAGAGGTCTTAGATTCAATTTTAACCAAAAACGAATTTGAATCATATTATTACTAGCAAATTGTGAGGCTTAACTCACTCCCTTAGTATCATTTATTCCAAAAAAAAAAAAAATCTTTATAAGAAAATACAACGAGATAGTTCTCTGTTTGGGTACGATAGATGGAGGAGCTACAACTTACAGTAATTTCCCTTATAAAGTTTTAAGGTACTTCAACTACAAACACAGAAATTCAATCCAGGGTTTCTTACAAGTAACACGTACATTTGCATATTTTCCAGAAAGAGGGCACGGTACCGGCCATGGAGAACTTACAAGTAAAACTCGTTAACATATACGCAAAAGAAGTTGCAATTTTTATATCAATCTTCAAGCTCCATGATCTTGATCACAGAAGTATCGCCAATTTTTTGGCAAATGACCACACGATCATGTGATTTTACGACACCAATGGCCTTGCCATGGTCCAAAGCGATTTTAAGAATTGACTCATTTGTTGCACCGGTAGTTTCAGCCTGCAGGGGAGAAAGGGAAGATAAGAAAAAGAAACGTCTCAGTCTGATACAACGGGTAGTGAAGCATGCAAAAGAATATGCATCATGTGATGAACTGAAGTTAATCCACGTCTATAACCAACTCGGGTCCCTAAATGCAGCCTCCCCTTCTCCTTTCCTACCATTTTCAGAGATCTACTTATCTAGAATTTCGAAAAACTTCCGACTATATTCATTAGGGCAGCATTCAAGGTGAACGGGAAACCCAAATCAATCAATTTTAACGAAAGGAAAGATCTGGGAAACCATGTGATTATTATATGCATTATGCATAGCTTTCGCCAATGCAATCAACAAGATATATCTTACTGGATGTCGAGGATCTGCTAGCATGGGAAAAAGGCCTCTAACAATGAGTGATTGCCTTGCCTGCCAGATATTCATCATAAGAAAAGGAGAGCTTGTGAGCATCAAATTCAGTTGGAGACTCTAGATCATAACGAAATAATATGATTGTCTGCTAATCATTCTTCTCATTTGCAAATCTTGGGTTCATAAGAGAGATATTAAAGTTAGAGCATCCAACCCAAAATCAATTGGCACCCGGCGTAGACCCCATTTGTTTCCCTTTGTGATGCTAATTACCTACTTAACTCAGTAGTTAGAGTTGTTTTCATACGGCAGGAGTCATTGGTTCAAATCCAAAAGTAATTAGAACTTTACCAGAGTCAATGGTACCTATTAAGTTTTTCCACTCATCTTCCTTAATATTTATATTTTTATCGTTTTTGTTTCATTAGAACTTTATTCCATTTGATTGTAATTGATTCTTATTCAATCGGCAGGAACAAAATTAGGGACGAATAAGCAAAATAAGGTGTATAAACAGAATCAAGATATCAAGATGTGCGTGTGTTGGCATCCAACTCCAAATCAATTGGGAATAAGTGGGGTGGCTCAAGATATTATCTACCGTCAAGCATGTTTGAGTGCGACAAAGGAAGAAATAAAACATTCAACAAAGCAATTGCTCCAGCATTTGTCCCAACTGGATAAAACAATTAGTAGAGACATTCTAGCATCTAGCAGAAACTAGGAAAAATAAACTTGCTAGTGCATAAAAATAAAGATAATCAGTTCAATAACAAACCTCAAAAGCACCAGAAAATGTCCATCGGAGTTGATTTGTCTTGACCCGAGGTATGACAACAGAAAGCACAGGCATTGTTGGTCTGTACTTTGCAATCAACCTACACTAATGCCCAAATATCAGAACCGGTATATGCACGAGTGAACATAACAATTACAAAATATTTGTATCTAACATCATAAACCATCAAAGAAAAACTTAATTTTTATGTTTTACAATTAAAGTACATCTGATCTAACTGAATTTCAATCAGGAAACTAAAATCTTACATAAAACCAAGTAACATTAGCCTAACCCATTTCCTACAGGCCAGTTTGATAACCATTTTTAGTTTCTTGTATTCACTTTTTGTGCTTGAGATATGAGGAAAACATATGGGGGAAAAGGAGGGAAGATGAAGAAGGGTGATGGAAGAAAGGGGAGGAAATAAAGAATAAATGAAAACAAGATCTTGAAAGTGAAAGCAACTTAAAATAGGTTTTGGGTTTTGAATTTTACTTTTCAACATTTTGTGTGCCTTTCCTTTTCCTTAAACATTCCTTCAACATTTCTTCGACCATCCTTCCTCAACTATTCTATATCCCTCATTTGTCCCATGTATTTCCCCTCTTAACTCTAACACAAAAATGAGAACTAAAAACTAGCAAAATGGTAATCAAACGGGCCCCAAGCATTTAATTTTATAAATACCATGAAGAGAGAATAAGAGATAAGAGAGAATCACCTTGCAGCTCTTCCAGATGTAGTGAAGCAAATAATTACAGAGGCCTTCACCTTGATGGCTGCACGTACCTAGGATAAGATAAATTATATTATAATATTTTCCTGTTGTAGCAAAATAAAAGGCATCCTTCATACATGATTCTGTTAGCAGCATCTCTTCAGGGAACAGGCCAACGGTACAATAAAAAGAAAGAGAAAAAACAAAATGGAAAATACTGAAAGCACAAAACTACCGCAGAGGAAGCAATAGATTCCAAGTGGGTCATTGGTTCTCCAACATATTTGACAGCCCTCTTAAAATACAAATCTTGATTAAAAACTTTCTCCGCCTGTCGACAGTAATTTGATAAAAGAAAATTTCCATTATTACAAGATATAAAAGAACTGTTATAATAAATGTGGAAATGAACTCAGAACTTTCCCTTGTCATTGTACTTTAATTTATAATATTTTTTGATAAACCATTCTTACGAAACATGCATCCTAATTATAAGAACAAAGAATTGTCCCACTCCCACCCTCCAAAACTGACTGACCACAAAACAAAAGGATCACACATTCTAATATGAGTCGTATGACTATAGCCAAGACCAACGAATCACTCTTTTAAGTACTACAATTCCACCAGAATATGTTGATGCAGAATCATATTTCCTGTTTTATTTTATTTTCTTGTTTTCTTTCTTTCCTGTTGCTATCAGCGTTGGGATTACTCTCCGAATTGTAGTAGGGCTAGGTTATTATAAATAAGTGCTTCGTAATATTTTCCCTGAGTAATCTTCTTCTAAATTCTCCTCGACATATCTCTTTTTGTCTTCTAAATTCTAATTCTAAATTATGGTATTTGGTTCTACATCAATTATACTCCTAGCCCTTAGCTTTAGGAATGGGTAGCGTCTACACTAGAAACCATCAAATTCTAGATCAGAAACGATAAAACCACAGAACATAAACAATGCTCAGTGTGCTAATATAAATCAGTAGAACCAGAAAACCAAAGCTGAAATATTAAGAATTCTCAGAGAGAAGACTGAAAAAAATATAGAGGAATGGTCCCATATAAGAATAATGGGAGTTTCTAAAATGCACATCAACATATGGCAAACACACCCTCAGAAATGAGAAAACTAATAGGATGGAAAAACAATGCTACTTCCACACTAGCTTTGGAGGTGTACGTCTATAAAAGTCTCTACTGTTGTAGGACAATGACAAGGGAAACGAAGAAAACAGATATATGGGCTCACTCCAACCTTTAGCACTGCACCAAAGGTGCATTTTAATCACTCTGATAGAGAAATTAGAAAACTTTTGGCATCACAATCAGAAGATCGCAAGAACTTCTTTCACCGTAAACGTTCAAAGCTCACAAAGTAACTCATGTATAGAACCATTGGCACATGAATCATTGAAAAGACTCAAATTATAACACTTAAATGGTAGCAGATATATTCATGATGCCTCATGTGATATATGATTCCAAACCAAGGATCCTGAAATACATGTGCCAAATGCATTTATTGTATAATAGGTATAAATAATCTGAATCAAGTGGTTTTTAGTAATTGAATGGGCTTATTTATTATAATTTGAATCCAGCTCTGCCATCATCTGGAGAACACAGGGATGCAACAGCTGAAATTTTTCTCGCTTTTTCAGAAGAGAGAGAGAGCTTTATTACAATACAGAAATGGAGTTACCTCAGAGCAAATCTTTCCAACAGTGGAGATCGTCTCAACAGGGTACAAACCGCGCAGGGTCTCTGCACCTAGAAGAATTGCATCACTTCCTGCACAAATAGAACTGAAAAGCGGGTAAATAAGTGCACAGGTCGTACTTGTACATCCTATGATAACATTAACTTGTTACTTGTTTAATAACGCTCAAGCAACAGGAGTATTACAATACGAATGATATTTACTAGCACTAACAGAGCAACAATCCATGCAATGACATGGACATTAAAGAATGAGATGGTGGAACCCGCCAAAGGTAACAGAAAGGAGCATATTTCATGTCAAAAGACAGAAGTTTACCATCCAGTACAGCGTTGGCAACATCAGTTGCTTCAGCACGAGTAGGTCTTAGGTTGTCGGTCATACTGTCCACAACCCGAGTCACCACTGCTGGCTTTCCAGCCATGTTGCACTTGTAAACAGCAGCCTTTTGAAATAAAAATACCTGGAAGATCAAAGTAGCGTCTTACCAGAATATTCAAGCCTCATTATAAAAAATACCCTCCAACTAAAAGTATATAGATACACATCCATCGAAGCATGGAAATTGGAAACACACACACACTAAAAGAACATTTGGTTCCCAATCCTCATCACTGTAAGTACCCCCCAGCTTTCAGGTCACCATCAGAGGAAATCAACATTTGATAAGCCACTATTTAATTCTTCCTCCAAAATAATAGTCCACATCATAACAGAATATAACTTGTGCAGGTATACCCAACATATAACAAACCATGGATGCGATATACATACAATATGCCGATGACGCCACATACAAGACATGGTTCTCACTTAAGCCATACCAATATGGTATATCAGGTAGACTGTTTGACAATGACTTACTCATTACTTTTGTGGCCGTGTGCAGTTGATGTAAATACATAAAAGAACATGACTACCAAAATCTACCTTCTCTGGTGGGAGATCTATCCCCAGATTTCCACGAGAGAGGATAATACCATCAGCTTCTTGCAAAATTTCATCAAAATGATTTAACCCCTACAAAAATAGAAGAGAACCTGTAAGCTAATTCAAATCCAAGCATAAGTATGACATTTGGAAATCTGATCAGTCACACATGATCCTTTCTGCCAAGAATATTCCTTACCACCATTACTGCCTAAATACTGACTACTAAGGGCTCTCCACAAATGTGGAGC